ATATATTTTTATTGTTCAAAATCAAAATATAAATTTTATCACTTTTAAAATTACATAATATAACATTATATATATATATATAAGTTATATAGAGTATTAAAACACTGTACTGTATAACAACACAACAACAATCGGTTAGCAAATCTAGTTTTTTTTATATTATTATTTATTATTATTATTAAAGTACATTTAACATTAAATTATATTTTATCGATGTTATAAAATTTTAGTTAAGGAAAATTAAATACAAAATATTTATTATTATTATTATTATTATAAAAAACTATTAGTTTAGAGTCAAAAAACTTGGAGACCACAAAAATCCTAATAGGAGTGTCCCCCACAACATACTATGCCTCTCTCTCTCTCTCTCTCTCTCTCTCTCTCTTTCAAAAGGAGTGGGCCTTCAAAAAAAATATATATATATATTAACAATTAGGAGGGTTCTCATTATATATATATATAAGTAGAAAAATTAGCTTTATCATTTATTTATTTTTTTTTTATAAATTTTTAATAAATTAATAAATAACTAAATACTAGTTGAAAATATGTTTATATAAATTACAGTTTATTAAGTTGATTATTTAAAAACATTTAATTTATAATTTTTTTATATCTAAAATTTTGTTTTAAAAGTTTTTATTAAATATATATATATATATATATATATATAATAAATAAGAAAATATTCAAATATTTGGTGAAAAAAATATATTTAATAATAATAATATCCGAAACATTATATATATATAAAATAATAAAAATCAACAACAAAAAAATGTTACATTTTTAAGTAACCATGAAATTCATAGTATAAATATTTGTAGAAAATATAAAAAATAAATAAATATATATATAAATAAAAATGTTAAAATTATTTTTTATAACGTATATATTTATATAGTCAAATAAATAATAATAAAAAAAGAGGATCACTACTACTACTACTACTACTAATATAGTCTATATTTATTTATATATATATATTTATATTTTTATGAAAGAAACAATAAAAACAATAACTACTGTGTGAGTAGCGATTAAAAAAACAACAAACAAAAGTTTGCTTATATATATACAGTATATATATATATATTTATTTATTAAATTAATGACAAAAATGAAAAGTTTTTTTTAAAAAAAAACTAACAAAACCAAAAGCTATTTAATTTATTTATTTTCATTTTATTTTATTTTCATATATACACACACTTTCTCTCTTTCTCTTTTATTTTGTCTCTTTTTTATATATATATATAATCTAACGGTAAATGTTAATTATAAATCAAATACTGTATATATTTATACTATTATATTATATATATATATATATATATATATACTGTATAAATACTATTACACATTATTGAATTTTTCGTTGCCAATAGAAAAATAAATAAATATATAACATAACATACGGAAAATTGATATTATTAATATATACCGTATATATATATATAAATACAGAGAAAGAGAGATTTATATATATTAATTTTATACTGTATTTATATACTATATATAATATTAAACAATATGTAGTTATATAGCTATGGCTATAGAAATAATATAGAAGTACTTTATATATACAGTACCGTATATTCTGTATATAATATATATATATATATATATATATATATATATATATATATATTCTGTATATATATATTGATTTGTTGTGACGGCTAACAAAATCATTGACATTTACAATGAGCCAACAGTGCACTTGATATCTATCTCTCAGTATATATATATTATATATAACAGCGCTTTTTATTCACTAAACGCATTGTATCACACAATCATTGTATGTCTACAATAGGCCGGACTGACTGACTGTCTCTCTCTCTCTCTCTCTCTCTCTCTCTCTCTCTTTAGGTGAGAGTAGAGGAATGAAAGTGAATGAGATGTTATGTTAAACATAAAGATTGAGATGTATTTATGAGAGAAAGAAAGAGAGAGAGAGAGAGAGAGAGAGAGAGAGAGTTTTACCGACAAGTGATGTAACGGTAGGGCAACTATACTACTAATACAACTAACTATAATACAATACACTACTACTAGTCTACTACTTATTCAACAACAACAACAACAACAACAACACTAACAAGAAATATACAGATAATACAGTATACAGTATAGAGTGGTTGGGGTCTGAATGAATGACTGACTGACTGACTGACACTACAATCAACAATCAAAACGAAAGGATAGGATAGGAAAAAGTATAGACAGACAGACCAAACACCCAAACAAAATAACTATACGATCAACACATCAACAACCACTCTATTATATTTTTTTGTGTGTTGAGAAAAAAAACGGCATCACATTTGTAGGTCAAACCAGTCATACCTACATATATTTCAACAACAAATTATCATATCATATATACAGTACGGTATATCTCTACTATCATACATAGTGTACATTCACTCATGTATTTATTACTGTATATATGTTTGTGAATGTGTATTGTATTTTATTTTTTAAAAATAAAAAAATAGAAAAATAAATAAAAACAAATTGTTTTTTTAAAAAAGAGTATTAGTCATATCTATATATATTAATACATATACACAGTAATAGCCCTATTATGTATACTAATAGGACTATCAATTGGTTAGTTAGTGTGTGTGTGTGTGTGTGTGTGTGTCTATCATCAAATTGATGCCAATGTAGAGCACAGACACTCACACACACACACACACACACAGAGAGAGAGAGAGAGAGAGAGAGAGAGAGAGAGAGAGAGAGAGAGAGAGAGAGAGAGAGAGAGAGAGAGAGAGAGAGAGAGACGATATATGATGAACATTACAATTCATTACATATTAATAGTATAGTAATTGATAGATAGATATATTGTATGTATATATAAATTGATTGATTTTTTTGGTGTGTGTGTCATAAAAAATAATATGTGTGGACACATACCTTAAAAAAATTTTGGTTGGTCTATATGGTTGACATCGATTGTTTGGTTGGTTTTTTTTTATCGTAAATAAATAATTTCGGTTTGACTGTCTATATCTCTTTACTCATCACTTGTTGGTCATGTGGAGGATGATGTCGTAGTCGTTGTTGTAGTTGTCGTCGATGATGATAATGAACAGTGTTGTTGTTGGTGTCGGTGCGCTGAGTGTCTAATAGTAATAGTGTTGTTGTTATTATTGTTGTTGTTGTTGTCTGATGCAGCTCCTGGTGATGATGGGTCGTCGTCTGGCATTAGAGGCTGAGTGGTGGTGGTGTGAGACACTAACAGCAGCAGCAGCTCAGCCATCGCTGGGTTGGCGGCGGCACTGGTTATATGCCAAACACATACACATACAGAAACGCTAGTATAATATTATATATATATATATACTATACAGCGCTGGTAGTGTAGTGTACAGTCGTAGTGGTAATAGTAGTAGTAGTAGTAGTAGTAGTAGTAGTAGTAATGGTATGGTATTGGTCTTGAAGGACAAAGTGATGTAGATGTTGTTGTGTCGGTTGTGATGGTAGTGGTAGTAGTAGTAGTAGTGATGGTTGGGTTTGTATGCAATGCAATGCAATGCAATTCAATGAATGTCTCTCTAGTTTTTTTAATAGTTTGATGGCTTTGTGCGCCACAAAGTGTCTCTCCAACAATGTTTTAGGCACTGTTGCATAAAATACAAGCGCCAGCACTAACTAACTAACTAACTAAATAACTAACTGACTGACTGAATGCATGTGTAAAGCATAATAAATTGCTAGTAGTTTTGTGTTAGGGTTTGGGAGAGATAGACAGTCAGAGAGAGAGAGAGAGAGAGAGAGAGAGAGAGAGAGAGAGAGAGAGAGAACAGGCAGATAACCAGATAACCAATGATAAGCTATTGCCTCAGAAAAGCACTGGCAGTTAAAGAGTTAAAAGAAATTTTTTTATATATTATACGAGAGAGAGAGAGAGAGAGAAACGACAGCCAACAGTGCTTTAAAAGCTCTGTCTGTATATATTATATAAGCTTATGACCGGCTCTACACTGTCTAACACTCTCCTGTCTGTGTGTATGTGTGCACACACTTACACATACATACATACAGTACATACATATATAAGTTATATGATATAACACTTGGTATACCCATAGACAGTGCTCTGTCTGAGTCTGTCTGTAATTCATGTATGAGATGTCTGTCTGACTCTGACTGCCAGTGCATACAACTCTCTCTCTCTCTCTCTCTCTTTCTCTCAATCGGTCCACTCTTATTCAACATTACATATTATACACTGTATTATACAACCAAACACTGTATAACCATTTATTTTAAACTACTACTACCAGTGTATGTATGTGTTTGTGTGTGCTCTTAATATTTAGCAGCTTCGCGGGTGGGGACACACACATACTATTCGGATGGGCATAACTATGTGTGTGTATAATGTTTTAAGGGTTAGAGTCTGGGTTAGGCTGTCTGTGCTGTGCTTAATGATATGTACAATACATTACATTACATAAAGAGTTATATACATTGCATACAAATGATTTGATACATTACAGTACACATACATACATACATACATACATACATACATACATACATACAGTGCATACATAGAGTATAGACAAACTTTTTACAAAAATTTTACAGACAGGATAAGCCATTGGAAACATACACTAACAAAATTTAAATCAGTTTATATGATTATAGGACTACCGGTGCTTCTCGGGAGGAATAGTAGTAGTAGTGATGGTCACTATTTAAGTATGACTGATCATCAGCACCGGTAGGTATAATCACAATAATAATATACCGGTATTAAACATTATATACCGGTATATACCAGTATATATATAGAGAGTAATACTATTGCATACATAGCATCAAAAAAATCGATGCAATGTAATGATTATGCAATAGTTTGTATAACAAGTGGCGGAACCATATATAATACATAACATACTGGTGCACATCTCTACTAATACAGTACTATGTATTAACTGAATTCATCTCTACTAACTGTTATTATTGTTGATGGACTCCATATAGAGTTTAATACAACAATAATAATAAACATGTGTTTTGTATTGTTTTTGTTGATCTAATAGTCAAATATAATTTAGTTGTAATATAATTGTGTGATTATAGTGACTGTAATATCACTGATTGAACTGATCAAACCATTTGATTGTCCATTAATTTATTATTTTGTTATAATGAATGCTCCGCCGGCTTTCGAGTCATTCCTCCTGTTCGAGGGCGAGAAGAAGTAAGTGATTATCATATGTTGTTGTTGTTTGTCTTGGTGTCCATCGATGGACAGATGGATCAGATTGGTTGCAACAGAATTGATATGTCATTTTTTTGTTTGAAGATTAATTTGTTGATCACTTTCTCTCTCTATCTGTCTCTCTCTCTCTCTCTCTCTTTCCCCCCGTTTAGGATCGGCATCGAGAAGGACACCAAAGTACCCAATGCGGCCATCTTTACCGTCCAGAAAGAGGATCACACTCTTGGAAATATGATCCGCATGTATGACATTAGTTTGGGGATCAGTTATTGTTTATCAGTTAAATATATATCTTGATTTATTTCAGGCAACTCCTGAAAGATCCGCAAGTATTGTTCGCCGGCTATAAGGTTCCCCATCCGTTGACCCACGAGTTTGTACTACGGGTCCAGACATCGGCCGATTATTCACCGCAAGAGGCACTGCTGAACGCCATTACCGATCTGATCAGTGAACTGTCGCTACTCGAGGAACGATTCCGAGTTAGTATACCGTAATTGCCGATCAATTTCCCGATAGATTTGATTTTTGTTTTGTTTTACATATTTTATAAAACCTCTAAATTGATAATCAAATTATTGATTTTATTTTTCTCTATTAAATTGTTGTCATTTTATTTTATAGGAAGCGGTTCGCGAAAGACAAGAAGGAAATGACTGAATGAATCGTATGATATCTACAGTATCTGATCCATCAATATATATATATCTCTCATATATATAATAATCATTTAATTTAAACAATTAATTTATGTATTATATGATTATTATTATTAGTATTTAATTTTTTTTTGTAAGTTCACAAACACTCTTGTGGTTCATTGCTTTAATAAATATCATTAATAATAAAAACTGTTTTATATACATATATAAAAAATCAAATTATAAATTATAATATAATTTATATAAAAGACTAGTTATTAAACTAATAATATGATACACACACACACACACCATAAGCGCTATAAAATATCAAATTTTTACAATCATTTATAATACAGTTTATACAGTATTTAGTATTGATTTAATAATATTCAGGCAATTTATATATACAGTATAAATATAATGCCAAACCCTTTAATATATTTAGGAATTATAATGTGAAACATTATACTGTAGTACTGTATATATATATATATACATAAATATTAATATATAAGTCAATTGTATTTGACTTAAAGTTTAATTTATTGATTTAATCTCATTTTGATTTTAAAAACTAATCATTTGTAGATATATATTTTGTGGTGATAATTTTTTTTTAAAAAATTTATTGAATGCGATTATAATACTAAATTTTTTTAATAAGTAATATCATAATATTACCATAAAATAAAATCAGTATAATGTTACAACGGGTTATTATTATTATTATTTAAAAAACAAACAAAACAAAAAAAATTTAAAAAAAAAGTATTTATAGCAAAAAATTTACTAATAATAAGATTTGACGATTTTTTTCCAAACTATACAGTCAGTGTAACAAACATAGTATATGAATATACATAAAATTCCACTAAAAAAAACATTATTAACTTCTAAAAAAAAATGTTGTCAATTGTAAAACTTGATTGTTAGGGTTTATGTAAAATAAAACAAAATTTGTGCAAAAATTACTTATCATTAACAAACAAACAAAATAAAAATAGTTGATAATTAAAAATTAACATAAAAAATATTTTTTTTTTCATTTTGTTTTGTTTTACTTTTTAAGAATTAATTAAATTTGCAACAAAACTAAAAGATAAGTAATATAGATAATAATAATATTATGAATGCATACTGATTATTTATTATATATTATATATATACTGTATATATATAAATATATATATACTGTATATATATAAATATATATATATATATATATATATAAATATATATATATATATATATATTAAACATTCAAATGTCATATCAAATATCTGTCTAATTGTGCAGCAATTGATTACCGGTTAAAAAAGACACCCAAAAAAATCACATATAAATCACATAAGTTATTATGTATGTAAATGCAAACTGGTTTATATGATAAAAAATTTGTATAATACAGTATAATATTATGATATAGCTATTATGTGTTTTTTTAAAAAAAGGGTTTTTTTAAGTGTATACTATACACAAAATTATATAACATATAATTTTTTTTGTTAAAAAAAGATTATATCACTACTACTAATATTATACAATTTACTATCATCTGAATTAAGGATTGCAATTAAAAATATTTATTTTAATTTTATTATCTTATATAAATTATATATATATATATATGTATATATAATTTCAGTAAATTTATTGTGCATAGTTTACTGTATTTTTTAAAAAAATATACTGTATAAATATAATTTAATAATTAATCATATAATCTAATAGTTAATTATAATTATATTTAAAATTATCCTACTATATATATGTACTATGTATATATATCTTTATAATAGTAATTTCTATGATTTTGAATTTTAAATTTAGTTTATATCGTGCGTATGTGTGTGTCTCTCTCTCTCTCTCTCTGTGTGTGTGTGTGTGTGTGTGTGTGTGTGTATGTATGTATGTATGTATGTATGTATGTATGTGTGTGTGTATGTATGTGTGTGTGTGTGTGTGTGTATGTATGTATGTGTGTGTGTGTTTGTGTGAAAGGCATATATTTATAATAGATATAAAATTTTTATTTCACTAAAAAAGAATTTTTAATAACATTTTATTATTTTATCTAATTTTTTATAAACCAATAAAATCCACATAAAATACTTTAGTTATATATTGAATATACAGTATATATACTGTATATATATATATATATTATATATAAAATTATATATATATATATTTATAAAGTAAGCCACCAACAAAGTTGAATGATCATCAAGATAGATTTATGATACACTGATAGTCGTGCCATAATAAATGTTTTTTTTGGGCAACTGTTGGATAAATAATTTATATGAAATACAAAAAAAAATTACTGTATATTTTTTTGGCAAAAAAATTTAAAAAATAAAATCTAATATAATTTTAAACTTATTATATTGATAATATTATAGAGATATATTACTAGACTTTTTTTTTAAAAAAAATTATTTTATGCTAATTAAACTATAGCAAACAAAATAAAATAAATACTAATTTTTATTGTTAAGCTGCTAGTTATTGTCAAATTTTATCAAATTTTTAGATCTAACAAATTGCTTAATTATAATTATCATCATTATTATTATTATTATCATTATATTTAATAGTATTATCGTAGACTAGATAAAAATGTGAATTTATTTTATGAAAATTTTTTGACAATTATAAATTGTTATTGTCGTTGATATATATAATATATATTATAATTATATCTTTAATACTATTATTATATTTGAAATATATTGTATATACATATTATTGAAACTAAAACTGAATGTGTAATACAACAACAAAAATATGAAAAAATATATTTTTTTGAAATACAAATCTATATCCAAAAAATATAATACTATAGTCATGTATTGAATATATTGTATAAACTTTATAATAATATAAAGTATGGTTAGACTCATAATATTTTATTTTATTTTTATTTTTTTGGTCAAATAACATAAAATACTATTATAAATTAAATACATTTCTAGCATTGCTAAACAATTTTATTATTAAAGTAAAGTATTATATATACTGTATATATATATATCTTCTACAAAAAAAATCCCGGACTGACTGACTGTTGGGCCATAAAGTAGTGATAAAAATCCGTTTTTCTGAGCAAAGAAGATATGCAGACATATATATATATATACAGTATCTAAAAGTTATATAAGATATCTATAAGTATTGAATATATAAAAGATATGGAGCTTTGAGTTCGTGTTTTGAATAATTCACTGCTTTAATGATTATCTGTTTTAAGCGAAAATTTTCTCTTATATTATCTCTCTCTCTCTCTCTCTCTCTCTCTCTCTCTCTCTCTCTCTCTCTCTCTCTCATCCCAACGTTTTTTTTGTTGGTTTTATTTTTTGTTGTTTTCATAATTTCTCTCTCTCTCTCTCTCTCTCTCTCTCTCTCTCTCTCTCTCTCTTTACTCTCCCCTTAGTTGTTGTGCACTCTTTATATCACATTTTTTTTGCATTGCATTCATTCAGATTAAGCTTTTGCCTGATAAGGACATCGCCTTTAAATGATTTCTCTCTCTCTCTCTCTCTCTCTCTCTCTCTTTCTCTCTCTACTCAACCAAACTTATATACATATTATATAAATTTAAGTTATATATTATACAGTATAACCTTATAAATTGTTATGTATATATATATATATTATATAAAGACTAATGGTTTGGTTTAATTTAAACATGGGTCAATAATTTCAATGGGGTTTTTTTTAGTGTAACGCTCAATTTATTTTATCTAGATTATATGTTATCAAAATAAAATTTTTAGTTAATGATTAAGGCAACAAATATATTAAATTTAATACAATATAATATACAGTATTAAAAAAAATTTGTTACCAATTAAAATAAATTAATAATATTATTGGATTATATAGTATTATATAATTTATAATTTACAAAAAATATGGTTAATTATTTAATATATACACTGTATATAGAAACTAGTTTTCAAAAAACTAATATAATTACTTAATCATTAATTTTATAGTTAGTCACAATAAATATGATATTTATTTTTTTATAAGTTTTGTTTTGTTTGTTTATAATTTCTATTTTTAAACAAAAATTAATTACAAAAATAAATAACTAATAAAATATAGTAAATCATTTAATTAAATAAAGTATTGATATTTAAAAAAAAAACTTTTAAACAGTATTTTATAATAATATTGTATTCAATATAATGTAGTAATATTTTAATACATATTGTACTTTAATATAATGGATACTATAATGCCATCTAATGAAATAAATAACATTTACAAAATTTAAAAAAAAGTTTATCTCTCAAACAATTAATAATAATTATTATTATTAAGCTAGGTAAATTATCATAAATAACAATAAAAATATAAATTAAAATTAATTAAATTTATTTAATATAATTTCAAAATAAATTATATTATTTAAAAAGATTTTTAAGTTAAATTAATTAGTTATTGACCACCAATTAAATATATATATAGATATATTTATTAAACTAACTAATTATAAATTATACTATTTTTAGCTAATTATTATTTATAAATAAATAATTAATTAAAAAAAGTTATACTTATAAATATTATAGCATCTGGTTTTTTTTGAAAAATCATACAAAACAAACAAAATGTTATAATATTATAAATAGTTAATTAATTATTTGCTACAATATGTTATCAATAAATATTTTGACAATTTTTTGTATATTTATAATATATAATCCTAATTAACTTTATTTTATTTTATTAATAATTATATAACTAATAAATGTTTTAGTTTTATTTTAAAAAAATACTATTTTGAATTAATGAATTAAAAGTTAAATCTATAGTTAGTTTTGTTGTTGTTGTTGTTGTTTTGAATTTATAAATATTATTTAGATTTAATTTAAACTTTGAGTGATAGAAATAAATGCCAATTTGAAACATAAATTATAGTTTAATTAATCAAAAAAAAAAACAAAAAAAAAAAGTTTTATAACTTTTGAAATATTGGTATATTATACTATTTTTAAAAATAAAAATATTGTGGTGATGGTAATGGTGTTTTAAAATTTATATATTTTTTAAAAATTTAAACAAATTAAACTGGTTCAATAGCTGCTTGCTAACTAATAAATAAATATGCTATAGTTCAAATTATTTATAAAGTCAACATGTGGTATTAACTATCTAATCACAAACAAAAAAAAAATAAAATCATGATTAATTATTATAAATTTTATAATTTTTTTTTTACAAAACTGTTTTACAAAATTTTACTATACATTATTAATAACTAATACTGTAATATAATTTTATTGAGAAAAATTAATTGAATTTTTAAAAAAAAAAAATAGTAACTATGATATAAATTTGTATATAAAGTCACAAAATATTTCATAGTAAAGGGTTTTTTAAGGAATTTACTTTAAATTTTATTTTATTTTATTTTTTATATAAAACTAAGAACAATGACTGTAGTATTAATTTATTATAACTATAATAATAATAATAATAATAATTTAATAATAATTGTAGGTCAATGTCGAGATATGCCCCAGGTCTATTATATATATATAGTTATAATATAGTTTAAGGTCATACTATGGGATAGTAATAGTATTCAATATGAATATCAATAATTTTTGTTACTATAAATTTTTAATACAAAATCTCTTTATGTGAGCATTTAATGTTAAATAAATATAAAATTAATTTTATATTAATTTTTATTATATACTGTAATAGTTGTAATATATATATACAATAAAAATTAATACAATATAATCTTTTAAACAATTATTGTCGTCATTAAGTTATTATTATTATTATTTAACAATTACATAGATTTTTTTTGAAAAAAATTTAATACAAAAAATATAATTTTTTATTTAATTATTTAAATAATATTGTAGTCAACGATAACTTGTAGTAGTAGTTAGCGTGAGATTATGATACACCCATAGACAGGGTGTTTATATTTTAATAAGTTTTTTTTTAAAAAAATTTATTTTTTAAAAAAATGTTAACATAATTACTTATTGTATGATATAAACCTAGTAATTTTATTAGTACTTTATATAATAGTAATAATAATTGAGATTATATTAGGATTAGTATATTAAATGTAATTTTTTTTGTTTAAAAAAAGTAAAAATTATCAACAATTTTTTGGTGCATTTGATTGATATAATATTTATAATTTTATTAAATGCTAAATAATATATCAAATAATTTATCGATATTTTTTTGAGTAAAATGTATTTAACATATTTTGAATTTAAAAAAAACTAATTAATTTACTGGAAAACGACTTATATTTTTTTGGCTAAATAGTTTCATGAACTTTACATATATTATTATTATTATATTGACAACAATGATAATTTTGTTTTATAATATAATAGAAATAATAGTATATATATATAAAGTTTTATATAATACAATACGGTAAAAAAAATAAATTATGAAAACATTGTATTGTAACAAATTGACATGAAAAGATTTTTATAATAATTTATTTTATTTTAAAAAAATAATAATAATGTATAATTTAGACACAACAACAAAAAATGCATAACTAATATAAAGATTTAATGTATTAATATATATAAGTAATCAATGGCTTAAACAAATGGGTGTATAATAAGTAGTTTTATGGGGGGATGTCGTTGTGAACCCAGAGAGAGAGAGAGAGAGAGAGAGAGACATAAGATGTTAACATAAGATAATAATAATGATTTGGTGTGAATATGATATATATTAATATATTCAATATATATATATATTAAAACTTATTTGATGTGTTTGTTGTGTGCGATAAAAGTTTGCACTGTAATGGTATGGCATCGTATCGTCGATGAAAATCAAGGAAATCCGCATTTTATTAATTTTGAAGGCACTCTACGATATGGTGTATGTCTGTATGCATGTATGATATGTATGTATGTGTATGTATTGATATGTATGTGCTGTGCCCTCACATTTAGGTCACTTGAACTTTTAGCAAAGCATAGCCAAAAACCTGAATCTCTCTCTTTCTCTCTCTCTCTCTCTCTCTCTCTCTCTCTCTCTCTAAATACTGAAACGGTATGTCTTTTCTTTACAGTTAATAATAAACAATAATTCAACAGAAGCTGCGATTTAATATATATATCTGGAAGAGCTCTCTCTCTCTCTCTCTCTCTGATAAACAACTCCTCTGAAATATAACGGTGCGACCAATGAGAGGTCGGCCTCTAAACCAAATGGTTGATACGTCAGATGTAGTGATGATTTTGATTTTTGTCGTCGCGCTTCTCCATATTATTAACATTAGTTTTATTGCCATTCAATGATTATTATATTAAACTATATTAATACTGTTATATATATTGTCTGCAAAAAAAATGTTTTAAAATCCTCGCTCATATATAAACTATAACTTACTGTATATATAACAGTAAAAACTTATTGTAACTTTTTTTATTGTCATATAAAAGTTTCAATAATCAATTGGACAGTTAGTTAAATAATTTCAATCAATTTCAAGTAAACTATCCCCAAATGAGACCGGCCTACTGGTGTATGTCAGTCATGTTTGTCACCCTATTGTTCATCTATTTAACGGCAATTAAGCTGATCCGCGGTCAAGAGATTGACAATACATATCATGATTATACTGCGATGACTGATCTTCTTAAGACATACAGCCAAACATATCCACATCTAACACATCTCTATACTATTGGAAAGTCCATACAAGGTATGAATAATTTGATTTAATTTAATAATTTAGTTTTGTTTATAATGTAATATAATTTTTTAATATATTTGTAAAACTTTAGAAATTTAGTTTAATAATCAATTTTTTTTCAATAATCTTGTATACAGTATATGTTGTATAGATTTGTTTTAATATCAAAGTTTTTCCTTTAGTTATTTGTGAAAGTTTTATAAAGTTTTTTTTTGTTGAGCTATTGATCAAAATAATTATTAATAATCAAATACAATATAGTATATATATTTATAATCGTTAAATTGACAACAGTTTTAGCAATTAATTAGTTTTTTTTAAAAAAACTTTAACATAAATTTATTATTACTTATAAATTTTATAAATAAATTCTTGAAAATTTTTAATAAACTATTAATTTTTTTTTAGAAAAAATATTAATATCCTAAAATTTCCTAAAAGTTATATTATTTATTTTGAATTTAGTTTAGATTTAGTAAAGCTTAATCAGTATTATTCAAATTGCAATTATTTATTATACAGTATTAGTATATATTTTGTATATATATATATATAGTATTAATGATAAAATTGCTTATTATTATTATTATTATCAACAAAAAATAAATTATAATAAAGGAAACGCTCAGCAATTTTATTTGATAACAACAATTCATTTGCGGAAATCAGATAACATCCCTTATATATTAATTAATATATAATATTATTATCAATAGTAATACATGAATTTGTTGGGGAATTAAAATGTGCAAAAAAATATATAGAAATATAATTTTTTTAAATCTAATTGCTTGTTAAACGATAAATATAATAAATATTGTTATTATAATTATACACTTATTTTTTGTGTATTGAAAAAATTTTTTTACCCCCCATAAAATATTTAGGCAGAGAATTATGGGTATTATTGTTGTCTAAAAATCCAACGGAGGAACCGTTATTAAAGCCAAATGTTAAATATGTAGCCAATATGCACGGAAATGAAGTATTTTTAAATATATTTATTTAATAATAAACTATATAATTATAAATATAGTTTTAATTTATAAATTAATATATTTTTTTGTTTAAATTTTTTGCCACAATTAAAAAATGTTTTAGGCAGTAGGCAGAGAGCTAATGCTAAATTTGATACCATATCTGCTAAACAATTACGAAACCGATACATATATTAGATCATTGCTGGATAATACACGGCTGCATATAATGCCATCGATGAACCCGGATGGCTTTGAAAATGCCATTGAAGGACAGTGTACTGGTGGACAGGGAAGGTACCAATCAATCAGTCATATTATATATTATTAGCATTATTAGGGATATTAACTATCACACAAAAAAGATGATTTTATTTGATCGATTGATTAATTGTATCAATCATTTATTAGATATAATATACGTGGCTTTGACCTGAACCGCAACTTTCCCGATAATTTCAAGTCCAACAGTAAGGCCCAGCAGCCGGAAACACAGGCCGTACGCCAATGGATCGATTCGGTACCGTTCATACTGTCGGCTAATCTTCATGGCGGTGCACTGGTAGCCTCCTATCCCTACGACAATACACCCAATTCAAGTCAGACTAATTTTTTAACTATGATTTTTTGTTTTATTTTGGTTTAATAATTAAGAAATTTTTTTAAAAAACCTAAAAACTCAGTTTTTAATAAAAAAAACTTTTTTTCCTCAACAGTATTATCACAATTTACGCTACAGTCAAGTGAAAGTCGGACACCAGATAATGATGTTTTCAATCATTTGGCTCTCACTTATTCATTGAATCATTTGACTATGCATTTGGGTCAGCCCTGTCCAGATGGTAGCAATACTGGATTTGTTAACGGCACCACCAACGGTGCTCAATGGTATCCATTGACAGGTATTATGTGTTATCAAATATGTGTCACACACATGTATGTATAAAAAAAATATGATTATTAAACTCAATAATACTGTAATATATTAGGAGGAATGCAAGACTATAATTACATATGGGGTTCATGTATGGAGATAACACTGGAGCTATCGTGTTGTAAATACCCGGCCCGTCAGGAACTGAGCCGATACTGGCGCGAAAATAAGCGATCATTGCTTCTGTATTTAGGCGAAGCTCATCGCGGTGTCAAAGGTTTGATTACCGATCGGTCCAATTCCCAGTCGGCGGTTACCAAAGCTGTACTGAAAATCAAGGGCCGAGACATTAGTTTTAAGTCATCAAAACGCGGCGAATTTTGGCGCATATTATTGCCGGGTGTTTACACTTTGCAAGTATCAGCTGATGGCTACCAGTCCTTAGAACAACAGTTTACCGTTGAAGATGGTCGCATAACTGTCCTCAATATACAACTGACCCCCACTACTGCTACTACTGGTTCTTCTACTATTGCATTTGTAAGTAGATTCAGATGATGATTGTATCAAGTAGATTTTTCTATTTGTTTTGTTTTTGTTAATTTTAACTAACATTTTTGCATTCAAAAATAATAATTTTTATTATTATTATTATTAATCTAATCTAAACTCAAATTTGTAAAATGATTGTTAATAAGACTAACGAAACAGTTGGTCATATAAGAGCTGCCAGAGCCACACCATCTACTACTAGGACAACATCCACAGCAACAACAACAGGACATCCCGTTAATGATAAACAATTTTTATTGAACACAATTGACAATGAATTAACTAATGAAAACATTATTAGACACTATAACTATGATCCGCCACATAATCTAATATCAAACAGCCATAATTCAAATCAACAATCATCACAATTAATCAATTGCTTAATTTCGTCATTGATTTTATTATTGATTTATTATTAAAAAATACAAATCTAATGTGAAATTTGGAAAAAAATCAAAAAAAAAATCATTTTGTGGTATCCAAAAAAATATTGCTCAAAAAAATCATTGAATCAATTTATCATAAATTAAAAATTTTCATCAGTGTCATAAACTGTATATATCGTAATAATAATAATTATTATTTTAATGTACATTATAAAAACTAACCCCCTACCCCCCCATCTACAACTAACAAATTGTTGCATGTTTAATTTTATTTTGTGGTGTCGGTTTAAAATGGGTCTAATATTTTTGTTGTTGAACCATAATAATACCAATTATACTGATCCAAACATATTATCCATAATTATCATATCATATATATATATAGCATCATAATCAACGAACCGGTAGTTTAAGACCACCTCAATTTAGTAGTACCGCTACCACTGCAACCAACAACAATAACAACAACAATAACAACAACAATGGACTATTGATCTCAACCTCATCAGTCACGTCACCCATAAAGCCATCTAAGCTTCAGTTTACCGATAATAGCCTACCGTCGCAAAACTCCTACCTAAGCATTAGCAACAACAATCACTCGCCGCCGCCCAACCTATCCGATTCATTGGCTCCGCACCAGTATACTTGGCCCGGTTGGCCAACCCGTGTGGGTAATACAGGTGCTGTTCAGGGACAACAACAACAACAACCAGCTGCCGGTGCCGTACCGTTTTCTAACTTATTCAACAATCTATCCAATAGACTAAATGGTTGGACTAATAATTGGGGATAAATATTAAATATTAAAATTAAATTGAAATGTCTAGAAAATTATTATTATTTTTTTGTTAGTAATTTATATACTGTATATTGTAAAAAATAAATATATCATTTTTTAATTTTATTTTTTTTAGTATAATAATACATAAATATTTTTAAGTTTTTTTGATTGCACAATATATTATTATATTAATATATAAAATTATATACAATGCCTATTTGTAAATGTTACACAAATATTTTTAATATACTAAATTATTAATATTATAACTTTTTTTTGTTGTATATAACTTAAATATTTAATTTTTTTTAAATAATACTGGTAACATAATATCAAATAATACATAAAGTAATAATGTTTACATATAGTTTCAATATATTTATATTATAATTATTTGTATAAATTTTTATAAATTTTTCTTATTATTATAATATTTTTATTTTATTATTTCTTTTAAGTAAATTTTTTTTGTTTAAATACTAATTAATTTGTACTGTATTATTTAATATAATAATTTTTGTTATTGTTATAATATTTATATTATATTTACATTGCAATTAATCATACGATTATAATAAACATACTGTATAATCATGATTTAATAAGTTAAATATAATTTAATGATATCATATATCATATTGTGTGTTTAATATGATTATAATTTATATATATAATGTCCTAAATAATTGTTAACATTATATTCAATAATTCATTATTATTTGTCGATATTAAGTACAAATTTAATATATATACACACATACATAAAATAAATCATTTATAATAAAACAGGTATATTTTATCATTTATAATGAAATTATTATTATTATATTATTATATGGATAAAGTAGTACATTGAAACTTATTACACAAATTTATAGTTTAATTGTATTGTCTAATAATTTTCATAGTTTACATATACTGTACTGACAATTTAAATATATATATATATTATAGAAATAACAATTAAATTCAATTGTAATTTAAAATTTAAAGAATTATTTGTTGTTAAAAAATATATTGAATATATTGTTTTTAATATTGAAATTTTTTTGTGATTTAATGAAACACTAATTTTTTTTATTATAAAACTATTATCATATATATTCTATAACTTCAAAAAAAATTTTTTTTGTAATAATGTTAAATAATGTTAAACTATAAACTAAACAAATGTAAAAAAATCTAACAATTAAATGTTAAGCCTAGCATTGAAAAAAAGTTTGATTATTACTTTATGTTATTTTATTATTGTTTTATCCAATTCAATACTGTATTAGCATTTTATATATATACTGATTTGTTGTATTTGTTATACAAAATATCTTAAACTTTTAGTTTATTATTATTTATTATTATTATTATTATATATAAACAGTGCAAACAGTCCATTAAAATTATAAAACTGTGTGATCCACCTATCATTTAGAAATGTCAAAATTTTCACATCACTGACTATTATATTGTTATTATTATTATTATTATATTTGATGTCCTTATAATAATGATAATAAAAAACTTATAGTTTGTATAAGCTATTTGAATATTATAATATTAAGACATTTTTTAAAATAAAATAAATTTTATTATTTGAATATATGATATATTTTATTATTCAAGCATACAATTTTTTTATGTTTATTAAATAGAGATATGCAATATAAAAAATAAAACTAAAATTTTTGATAGTTTGAATGCTATAGCAAATATGTTTTTGACTTTTTGGTTTTTTTTATAATAGTTAACTATCTATGAATTTTTGTTAGATATTATGAGAAATATTTTTTTATATATAAGATATATGCGAAAATTTATAGTAATATAAAAATACGGTTACATTTTATATATACTAACGTTAGTATACAATTATTAAGCAATTTTCTATTAACTATATACGATTAAAATGATTTTAATATATATCTAGTAATAAATAAATTAAGTAAAATCGTGATAATATTATATTATATAATTAATCTAAATAACTATGATATGGATATAATTATTATACAAAATAGTCTATAATTAATGTGACCACTGGTCAACATTGCAGACACCAAAAAAAATGTCGGTCATATCAATTAAATATTGATTAGTATATAACCTAAAAATAAAATAAAATAAAATTTAAGATAACAATTATATTTTATGCTAATTTTGTGGTAATTGTGGTAATTGTGGTAATCATATATATAGATATATTTAGTTGAATATCTTTTTTTATAAAATGCACATGGGCATAAATTTGATTAAAAAATAAGTTATATACAGTAATAGACACGCTATTGCGGGGGAACGGTATGGTGTGTGTGTGTATACTTAAAAAAAAATAATTGTGGATACGGTAGGTGAGCATACAATTACAGTACTACATATATATGCCTTAATTATAATTTACTTGAATTATTATTATTATTATTTTCTTTTTTAAAAAAAGGTGGGGTTTATGTTGTTGTTTCACTTGAATCGCACATACAGTTCAATACAAATCATTTCACCGAAAAAAACAGTAAACAGTAGTCTCTCTTTCTCTCTCTCTCTATCTGTTTATATATCTCACCAAAAAAAACTACTTTTCAAAACACTTTTATGTGTCTTATAGTGTTATTTAGTCAAAATAAATTGAAATATTTTATCGATCTATTAAACACTAATGTATTTTTGATTGCAAATTTTTATGTATATATATATATATATATTTGTTTTTTACCATTTAATTATTATTAAATGTATAGTTAATTTTGTTTTTTTCTCAATTGCAATCTAGAAATAATGACCTGTACACAAAGTTTTCATATAAACTATAATATGATATATTAATTGTGTGTATATATTATAAAACCATAATGTACAGTTACTATACAGGTATATATATGATATACCGTAATGTAATATTGTGTAAGCATTAACAATAATAATAATAATAGCTATAATCATCAAAAAATTTATATATACCTGTTTTTTATGTGTTTTTGTGTGTGTAAAAAACTATGTGTGACCACAACTTTATATACTGTATAACTTATATTATATATATATATATATATCATAATAAATAATTATCTCAAATATACAGTAAATTACATTATTTTACTACACCAGAGATAGAGAGAGAAATAAAAATTAATTTAATGACTCCAAATGTGTGCCAAAAGTTTTTTGAATATTTTATTTAAGATTTTAATTTTAACGTAAAATTTATTATTATTATTTTTTTTGGTCACAACAACTACAATAACTAATTGTTTTAGTATAGTATATATGTGTGTTACCAGTAAAATATGTTTTTTTTAAATATGTTGCTGGTGAGATAGATATATGGATTTAACTAATCTATATATTATTTAAAAATATATTTATTTATTTGAAATTCAATGGATTTATAGTTAAAATTTTATTCATCAAAAAAACTACTACTACTACTACTACTACTACTACCACTAGAAAATGTTGTCACCATTGGATTATGTGTTACTTCATTTGGGAAGTCCTGGAAGATATCATATATTTCTGGCATTTCTCATATGTTGTCTACAATTTGCAGTCTCATTGTTGCCAAACATTTGGATCTATTATACGGAAGAACCGCCACATCGATGTCTATTAAAACAATCATTGTTTACCAATTCAACAGTAGTCAGCGATAGTGAATGGTTTCCATCAGTTGTCATCCGAAGTGATAGTAATAATAATAATAATAAGTTGCGGACACTTGACTCCTGTGCTATATATTTGGATCCATTTAATCACTGGAAAGGTACCCAAATGTGTCCGCACGGCTGGCAATATAGGCCCGAAAATAATGAACACAATGTAGTTATTGAATATGATTTAGTATGCGATCGTCGATATCTCCTAAATTCACTGTTTTATTTAAGCCATATATCAGCCATTTTGGGGGCAATTATTATAGCCATAATCGGTGACCGATGTGGCCCTAAAAATGCTGTATTGGTATCGCTTTATCTGTTTGTTTCGGCCGCTGTTTCACTGCATTTTGTGGCCGACTTTCTTCAGTTTTCGCTATTATATTCATTGCAGATATTCTTCTCATCCGTAAGTAATCACTAATTTTTTTTATTAAAAAAAATAATTATTTTTAATTTAGTATTAATTATCTATTGATATTAGTTCAACGTTATAAAAATTAGTATAATTTTTTGTTGTTGAAAAAATTGGCATTTTTTAAAAAAAAAAGTTAATTAATACCAGTGTTTATTAATAAGCATTTTAATGTATTACTTGATACTTACAATTGTTTGATAATTATTGTTCAAAATTTGTTTTTAAAAAACTATTTTTATAAGTTTATTATTATTATTAATATAACAATAAACTAAATAGTAATATAATAGAGTACAGGTAATTGTTTAAATAATTAATATATAAGCAAATCTATAAAAGTTAATTAAATTAATTGACTATAAATTTTTACATTACTTTACATTCAAAATTGATTTTTAAATTTTTAAATAACTAAAAATTAATTATATTTTAGATTAAGTATTATATCTAACTTTTATTGAACTAATAATTTACAATAATTTCTTTTTTTTAAATTGTTTATTGTTTAAGGGCTTACAAATAGTAGCATTTGTATTGCTAATTGAATTATTTGCGACACCCTATCAATTACGAGTATCCCTTTACTGGGTATGCTTTCAAATCATTGCCTCACTAATGGTACCGATGCTCATGTGGACTATACGTAACTGGCGTTACACACAACTGGCCATTTCGGTACCGTGTATTGCATTTTTTACCTACATCTGGCTATTGCCGCAATCGGTACTCTGGCTGGTAGTCGAAGGTCGGGTCGATCGGGCCGAACAACTCATCGAACAGTTGGCCCAACAAAATGGCAAAACACTTGCACCGACCTATCGTATACATCTGCAAAATATGTTGGCATCCATTCAAAGTAGTTCAATGAGTCAATCGCTGAGACATCGGATACTACCGAAGCTATCATCGCATGGCCTGCGATGGTATCTGTTTGTCCATTTCTATCTGTTTTTCGTAGTCGATCTGACCACTCATGTTACACAACCGCAAACATTTAGATTGAATGAAAACAAATATATACATCAATTTTATAGCTCGCTAATGGATTTGGGCACCGTTATGCTACTCTATCATTTTGCAACTAGGTAAAATTATCCACTATTTTTATTATTATTATTATATATATATAACTTTTTAAAATATTATTGATATGTATATAAATAATTTTTACCAATCAATAAAATTATATGTTTTGTATCTAACAATATAATTATTAAAAAGTATAAACAATTAGAAATAAATTTATATAAATTTATTTAATAATTAAATAATTAATAATTTTAGTATTGTAAGTATAGTATAGTATATTTTTTATTATTATTATAAATTTTATATTTAATTCAATTTTCTATATATAATCTTTAAAACATAGAAAAAATAAATTAGTATGTATTTAATATACCTGAATATATACTATTAATGCATTATCAACAATTATATAAAACTAATAAACATACGCTATAATAGTTTGTAAATTAATAATGTTAATTATATTTTTGTATTTATAATATATATATATATATATATATATAAATTTAGAATTGGACCTAGATTCATTCAATCATTCATATTCATAATAGCTGGTATCCTATTGATGACATCGATAACATTACAAGAAATGCTTCCTAAAAAACTTGATATAAACGGTATTTTTTTTAAAAAAATTAAAAATTATTTTCAAAAATATATTCAGTATATTTAAAAGTAATTTCTACAACTAAACAAAACAAACAAAACAAACAATATTATGTTTTTTAAAAACATTTTATATATTTTACTAAATTGTGTAAATAATAACTTTTTTAAAAGATAAAAACAACAAATTAGTTATATTTTGTTGATATATAATTTACAACAATAACAACAACAACAAACTAACTAAAAAATTTCCTTATAATTACAGTTCCCACTGATTTTGACTTCCGTTTACTACTATTACCCTCTGGTTTGATACTAATGTCACGGACGCTGACTATCTGTTTGCCGGCCCTCACATGGTTTCACGCAATTAAGACAATGCCCACTGGCATTAGGTTTGTCACATATATATATATATACTGTAGATATTTGTCACTATATATAGTATTTAAAGTTATCTTTTTGAAATTAAAAATTTAAAAAATCAATTTACTAAAAAACATACGAAAATAAATATCATATAAATTATATATAAAATGTTTCTAAGTGTATGAAACTTTGAAATTTTTCAACAACAAAAAATTGATTTTCAAAAATTGATTTTCTAAAAATTTCGAGGAAACTAATAAAAAGCTATTTTTTGTTTGTTTGTTTGTTAAATATTTAGATATTTATTTTTTTTTATAAAAAAAGACAATGCATTGAAGCATTTACTAATATAAGAAAATAGTTTATATATATATATATATATTTTCAACCAAAAAAATAATTGTTTTAATATTGTTTATATGTTATGCTAAATTATATACTAACGATAATTATAGTGTAATTTACAAAATAATAATATTTATTATTATTATTATCTAAACTTTACCGTAGATATACTGTATATATATATATAAATGCCAAATATAAGCCAATTTCAATAATCAAATGAACCAATTATCCTTTAAAAAAAAATTTACTTTTACTTCAAAAATAACTTTTCCTTATAATTGACTTTTTTTAAGTTTTTTATTTTTTTTAAATACTAAATTGCAAACACTATTAAAAATTTCGCAATGCTAATAATATACCTATATATATATATAAATTAATTATTTAATTATAAATAACGATTTTAAAAAAAAATATAATAATAATATTATGAAATTTAAATGATTTCAAAATTTTTTGGTATTAATCTTATTTATTTTTTTAACTATATATTAATTTCAATAATAAGATTAACCAAAAATAGGTAATTTCAATAATAAGATTTAATAAAAATAATTAATTTATTATTATAGGGCTATTGGTTTGGCTGCATGTTTTACTTGGAGCCAATTGGGACAAATGTCAGCACCGCATCTACTAGTGCTGGTTAGATATATTAAATTTATTAATCATTATTAAATTAAATTAAATTTTATAAACTGTATACAACAACAAACACAGTCGGATCTGATTGCACCGTTCATACCGATGGGCTTATGTGGTTCACTACTAGTAGTTGCCGGCGGACTATCCTTACTGTTGCCCACTTGCTATCGCAAACCGTTGCCCAATACCGTTGAAGAAGCTGAAGATAAAGATGCTGCTGCTGCTGATGATGATGATATTAGTAAGCAGCTTAGATATCCCAGTTTTCGGGACTTGAAAAACGGCCAGCTAAGCACCGTAAATGTCTATACTATTGGACCACCAAATGGTGGTAATTCATCAACATTGGACAAAACAATTGCAAAACAACATTCAGATTTGACAGTAACAACAGCAACAGGTCATCATCATCATCATCATAACCATCACCATAATCATCACCAACATCAACCATCAGCATCATCATCATCTCATTATAGGCCCAATACCATCTACGATGATACCGATTCTAAACTATCGGATATAGAAGATTACAATGTTGGTGGTAGTGGTGGTGGTAGTGGTGGTGGTAGTGGTGGGGGAGACAATAACAATTGGAGACTATTGTCCAACGAGTTTCAAACTAGATTTGGTGGTAACTATGATATAGCTAATGGTGGTGGTGGTGGTGGTGATGATGGCGATGGTAGTGATCTGCTGGGACCTCTACCAACATCCACAACATCAGCAACAACTGGCGGCCATAACTATCACAATGGCTTCAATCAGATTACAACTATTACAAGAGATTCTGTGGCCGAAACCAATCTATAATTATAATTATTAGTATATTATTTATTATATATTGTATATCATATGTATTAAAAAAACTATATATTTCATTATTTAAGCTTATAATATAAGTATTCAATTTATTAAATATTATATTTAATATATTCAACAAAATATACTCTCTATAAAGTTTATATATATATTAAATTTATAGTTAGTTTATATTATAAACTAACTATAATATACATGTATATGAAATATTTATACATTTAATATTAAATATTAATAAACTTATTATTATTATTATTATACATTTTTTGGTAATAAAATTTTAGTACTACAAGTATTATAATTAATTTAATAAATATATATTCAATAATATAAAAAAATAATGTTTGCATAATTTTATATGAAAAAAAAAATTTTCAATTCATCTTTCATTATTATCTTTGTATAAAAATACAGTAAACTATTATAATGATAATAATTAGAAATTTATTTATTGTGTATAAATAGATAGCAATTTTATAGACCTTAAAAATTAAATTGTAGATTAAAATAGCATATTATATACTGTATATACAGTAATGGTTTCGCTCTATTTCTATTAAATGTTATTAACACTTAATACAGTATAACACACACACACACACACACACATATATATATATATACACACATATATATACATACACACACATACACACACACACATTATATACAGTAATTTACAAATATGTGTATTTCACAAATTGCTAGTATTTTTTTATAATACAAATTTAATTGGCGTCAAACAAACAAACTTATTTTAATAGACTCAGTAATTAATTGCAATAAATAAAAAATTGTTGAAACTATTTATTTATTTTTAATTCAATGTCATTTATTTAGTATAGTTTTTTTTCAATAAAAATTAAGTCACTTTAAAAACAATTTGTTAAAAAAAATAATAGTTTTCTATTTAGTAGATAAGTGTTCAAACAATAATTGATTTATTGGTCAATAACCCATAAGATGTTGATACCCGATGAGCCCAAATTGACGCGTCTAATAATACCGTAATAATAATAATAATAATTAATGTATTTATAATTTCAATAACAAACAACAACAAAAAACAATTATTTAGTACTAATTTTAAAAAAATATACCCTAAATGTCCAAAATGTTGTGTTTTGATGCTATAAATAAATGATATAATACTATGAAATAAATTGTTTCGTCCGACAGGTAGTTCCCACAGATCATCATTTTTAGTAAACAGCTTATAATGCGGTGGTTTTGATTTGCATTCAACAATATAGATAGGACTGTTGGGTGCATTTCCTTAAAAAATTGATATTAATTGAAATTTAATAATAATAACAATTTTAATAAATATATATTTGACTAACCATTTAATGACTTGAAATAGACATTAGTAAATGTTTTACCATCGGGACAGTTAGGATTCGATGGTAGTCTCATATCCATATAAGTGCAAAATAAATGCATTATTATCTTTTTTCGGGGGGAGGGGGGAGGAAACAAAATATATTTTTTTTTTAAATATATATAAATTAATTATAACTATTATAATAGTATTCACAAAAATTTACCGCTGAATCGGTAACCAATTCATCATTCCATAGCTTAAGATTAAAATAGCCGCCAGAGTTCCACTTGAATTGGTTAATAGATCCGCCTCGAGATAACTCTATTATAATAATAATAAATTTTAAACACTTTATTAGCGATAATATACTTGATTTTGTAATATAATATATAATTTATTATTTAAAAAAAAGACTATAAAATATTCATTTATAAAAAAATTGTCGATAAAATACTACAACTATTTATATACAGGTATATAAAACTACATGTAATGATGTATTTCAATAACAACAAAACAAATAAAATGTTTATATAACCGGAAATTATAATTCAGTAATTTACCGATAAATTGTTATAATATAATTGAAATAATAAATTTAATAATCATCACAAAGAAAAATTTATTAAATTATATTATCGTAACTGCCGTTCAAATAACAAAACCAACCTTTAATTCGTTGAACCAAATATTGTTGATTAGTATTCAACTCAAGAAATGGTAGAAATGTTTCCAATGAATAAAGTTTTGAATTCTTTAAACTAATTATCCGTTTAAGAACCTGAATATTTGACTCTAATTGAAGACCAAAAAAAAACAAAATTATTTATTAAATTTAAAGTATAAAAAAATTAAAAATTATTTAAATAATGTATTTTTTTTATTTAAAAACAAAACATACGTCCAATAACAGTATCCGAGTGTCCATTTTTGGCTAACAAGTCATTTAATTTATCAATTTGTTGGACAACTCGGCTAAGTATTGTCAAACTAATCCATTTGCGAAGATTTTCAATCCATTGATTCATAATTGTTTCATCGATTTTAAATTTGATTAAAATCTAAAAAATAGTAATGAAAACACCAAAAAATGGATTTTTTAGTTAAGCGGTAAATAAAATGCTAAATCAATTAACAATATAATAAATATAAAAAGTCTCACTGAATCCATAAGCTTGGAAGCGCTTCCTGACTGATCATTGTCTTCCAAGTGGTCATCGTTTAGATGCAAAGGCGATGCTACGGCCAGTTGATAGACAGATGATCCGCTATTATCGTCGCCGACCAGTGACCAGTTGTACGATTGTTGTTGTGAACCATTGTTATTGTTTTTAGACGACGCCAGACACTCGGCCAGTTCGTCCAATCGTCGTTCTTGTTGTTCAAATTCAGTCAAATACGTTGACAATCGCTTCTCATTGTTGATCAACGACTGGCGCGGCGACAGCAGTTGACTGCTAGACATCGTCGATGATCGCGATGACGGACGCATCCATTGCCACGACTTGGAGCTGACATCGACTGACGAATCAAATTGTGTACAATTCAATGAGTCGGACAATTGAATTGAATTTAGCGACGAATGTCTGTCCAGTGATATATCGGATAAGGCGCTCATCTCGAAGATTGGTTTAGCGATACTGTCATCGATGGTAGTATTATTATTATTGGCAGTGGCTTTTGTTGTTTTCTGATTGTTGTCATCCACCGGCTTAATAGGTTTGAAACCGATTTCATCGGATCTAATGGCAAACGCCCGTAACTGCGATGGACTAAACTCCAGTTCTTTCATCAAATACTTGCGCCAAATACAGACATAGATTTCGTATACAGTATTCACCATTAATATGATCATTAAGAATATATCTAAAAAATTAATAGATGATAATCAACAATACAGATGGTATTATAATAATGATAATTCAAAAAAATCGGTGGTCACTAACCGATCAATTGGATCAACGAGTTGAACATCACTAGATCTGGTGCCAACAACATTTGGCCAACGATATGATATTTACTATTTATGGATAAACAAAAAAGAGTAATTAATAATAATGGGATCAGCTATTATGGATGGATGGATGTCACAACATACTAGTCGATGGCCACAATTGCCGCAAACGTGCCATTGATTATTGCCCACCAAAACGATTGACGCGATTGGGTCAACAATTGTCGCCGTTTTAACAGTTGATCCATTGATGCAGACATTGTTGTTGTTGTTGGTGGTGGTTGTGATGATGACGGTAGTGATGCTAACAGTTAGTCCACAAAGCAGTTGCTGTCATACATATGAACACAACTAACTGATTGATTGATTGAATCAATTGTTTTTCAAAACAATATGAAATTCATATGAAATGTATTAATAAAACAGTTTTCATTCAATGTATATGTATTTGAGTTGACTATTGGCGCCACTTATACACTGATGATCTCACGTGTCATATATTAATATAAATTTACTGTATATTACTGTACTGTATAGTAGAGAAAAAACACATCAATAATGTGATATAAAAAAATAATTTTATGATTTATTTTAATTTTGTTTTTTTTAAATTAATTAATTACAATAATAATTATTTGTTATATTTATTGATTTGTAGATCAATTGTATTTTTTATATAGACCTATATAATCAAGTATATTGTTATTATTATTAGTTTTAACATTATATATTTTTTTGTTAAATTTATTGAAATATTAATTAAATATTCATACTTAAAAAACTAATTATTAATTATTGTAACTTTTAAAAAACAATAATAATTATTATTTTATCATTATGAAATTAATTATTTATTTATCTATTTTTTATTTTTTAAATCAATTTGTTTGTACCATTATATAAAAAATGTTAAATTATAAATAAAAATTTATTTAGAGCTATTAAAATTATTTTTTAACTTTTTTTTGTTGATGTTATTAATTAAATGTATGTTAAGTAAATGATTAAATATACGGTAACTGTTAACTGATAATAAAGTTATTAAAAGTTTAGATTATGATATTATTTATATTTATCAGTATTTTTGATAAACATTTATTTTGTTAATTGATTAAAGTTTTATCAACAACAAAAATTATTTATTAATAATAATACAGATAGCAATTAAATATATTGAATACCCTTTTATTTTTGATAACTTTTATATACTTTTGTGTACTTTAGAGTACAATACAATGGCATCTATCGGATATATAATACATATTTATTTGAATGTGTTTATAATAATACATTGCATTTTACGGTATAATACAAGTATACAATATTGTGTACACTATTTATAATCATATCAACAACAACAACAAAAAAATAAAAATTGTTTTTTACATATACTTTATCTCATAGTATGAGATACAAGTGAGATACAAGTCTATAGTTTTATATATATATAATTATTTGTAATCAGCAGATATTTACTTGAAAATTTGATAAATAAAATTTAATATCATATTTATCATGCAATGAGTTAGTGACATAAGTATATCTAAATATATACAGTATATATATATATATCACTAACTATAATGTATATACCAGTACTGTATAATTGTTGCTATAATTATAATTAAATCAATTATCAATTAACTGGTAATTTACAGTATTAATAATTTAATCAATGATTTTAGTTGTTTAATATATATGCCTATTTGACTTATAGTGTAAGATATATGCCATTTAACATGTATGAATTTTTTTTTTGTTGAGTAGATTGAGTAAGGTCACATTTTAATAACAATAATTTTTTTTTAATATTTAGGTGACATGAGTGGTGACGACTATAATTTTTTTTTTTTGGGAATCAATTGGTGACAATTTTTATGTGACAACAATAACTTATTATTTTATTATTATTGTGTATTTCAATAACCAATAATAAGTTTTTGCTGTATTATTATTATTAAACTAATCACACATTTTTTAAAAAAAAAGGTATGTGTCATATACTGTAGTATTTATGATGTCATAAAATTTTATATATAAAAATTATTTTATATGTTTTAAAAACAATTTTTATTTTATTTTTATTTTTAATTTGAGCATGATCGTCAATAATAATAATAATAATAATAATAATAATAATAAATTATAATTATAATACTAGAAATTTAACATCATAAATTATTATTATAAAGTTACCATTATATAATATTAATAATTTATATCCTATAAGATATATATAGTATAGTATAGTATATATTATATACACATGTAGTAAACTTGATAAATATTATAATTAATTAATTAATGAAATTATAATTATAAACCGTGTCCTGTATTTTAGCAATGCCTGGCTGGACATCATCGTCATCGACGGTCAGGCCATACGGTGTGCCAATAGGTCTACGGATATTTGGTTTACACCAACGCCTGCCACTGTCCACTCATCGGCTGATGGTTTTGATACTGACATTCATAGCCTACACCTGCTATCATATGTCCAGACGTCCGATAAGTGTGGTCAAGAATGTCTTGAGTCGTAACTGTTCCCAAGTGATTGTACCATCAGATGTAATCGTAACGAATACTACCGAAAATAATTGGTGCGATTGGCAGCCATTCAATGGTGAAGATGCCAACACTCTCTTAGGTATAGTTACCGTAAACCCCAACTCATGATTGTCTCAATCATTTTGATGTAAACCGAGTTGTTCACAATGTCTTCATTATTATTATTTTAGGTCTTCTAGACTCGAGTTTTCTATTTTCGTACGCCATATGTATGTTCTTTTCGGGATTTATTGCCGAAAGATGTCATTTACGGTACTTCCTATCGCTGGGAATGTTGTTAAGCGGTCTATTGACCTACGCTTTCGGTATTGCCTTCTACTATCAGATCCATTCGATCTATTATTTTATATTCATTCAGATAATCTGTGGTAAGTAGTAGTAGTAGTAGTCCTATCAGACATTTTGATGACTTACCGGTAACCACAAATTAATAGGTGCACTCCAGACAAGTGGTTGGCCAGCAGTGGTATCATCGGTTGGCAATTGGTTTGGCAAGTCTTCGCGCGGTCTAATCTTCGGCATTTGGAATTCGCATACAAACGTCGGCAATATCTTAGGCGCACTAATTGCCGGCTATTATGTCGAATACAATTGGGGTCTCAGTTTCATTGTACCCGCCATTATCATTGCCATCGCCGGGTTCATTATGTTCCTGTTTTTCACGCCGTGTAAGATATATATACTATATATGGACCATTGATTATGTTTTATTGATGATAATAATTGTTTATCTTATCCAAATAGATCCCGAAGAAGTTGGTATCTCATCAGTTGATATTCAATGCAATAATCGTATTATTAGAGTAAGTATTAGTTTATAAATATATAGTATTGAATTTGATAGTAAAATAAGATTATTATTTTTGTTGTTGTTGTGATTTTAAAATAGGTATCAATGAATAATACAACTGAAAATACTGGTTACGGTGATAATAACGAAAGTGTTTCGAGTACTTGTTCATCGACATCACAATTGGAAACCCTATCGACACAACAACAACACCAGCAGCAGCAACAACAACATCGCCGCAAATTGAGACCAATTGGAGGAATGACTGCCGTCGATGACAACAACACCGATACCATAGTTGTTAGTATTTATAATAATGATTGAAATTTTTGTGTTATTACCGGTAAATAATTTTTTATTGTTGTATATCTATTAGTTGGATGAAGAGCATCCATTGCTAACAAATGAGACACCAATGGAAAGTACAGATAAAAAGGCCGTCTCTTTTATGACTGCACTGAAAATTCCTGTAAGTATTTAATATTTGATTTATTTTTATTTTTTTGTAATTGTATCACAAATTATATATCATATTTAGGGAGTCATTGAGTTTTCTCTGTGCCTGTTCTTTGCCAAACTGGTCAGCTATACCTTCCTCTATTGGCTGCCAAAATATATTGGATCGTCAAGTATTATATTATTATTATTATTATTATAATTAGTTAATAATAAATTATTAGTAATAATAATAATAATAATTTATATCTGTTTTTTATTGATAATAATTAGCTGATTCATCATCATCTGATTCGGCATACTTGTCCACACCATTTGATTTAGGAGGTATAATAGGTGCTATAGTAGCTGGAGTTTTAGTCGATGTTACCGGCGCCAGTGCTCTCATATGTGTGGTTATGTTGATTTGGGCCATTCCCCTGGTTTGTATAATTTTTTTTAAAAATATATATATACCGTACAAATTGTTTAAATAATTGATTACCGATTTAATAAAATGATTGTTTATATTATTTGATTACCGATATATATAGTTATTCCTATACCAATTATATGGCAGTGTTTCCTATTGGCATAATATAATACTACAGTTCATAACCGGTACGTTTGTTAACGGGCCTTACGCTCTCATTACGACCGCCGTATCGGCTGAATTGGGTACAAAGTTGGCCAATAGTCACTCATTGGCTACCGTTACCGCAATTATTGATGGCACCGGATCTATTGGTATATATATATATATTTATAATCATCATTTTTATATGTGCAATGTTTTTAATGATGTTTACCTGTAATATTATACCTGCATTAATTTAGGTGCCGCTATCGGGCCATTGTTTGCTGGTTGGGTATCTCAAACCGGCTGGAATAATGTCTTCTATATGGTAATGATGGCCGACTTATTGGCACTGATATCGCTGGCAAGGATTGCCGTCCAAGAGTGCAAACGTATTGCCCGTAATAGACATCGATTTAATTTTTAACGACCCCACCGTTGGGGAGGGGGTTATTTGTTTAAATTACCGTATATATATATATATATGTTGTACAGTCTAATTTAATATTTAAGTTTTTTTTAATTTATAAATAAACCATATAAATATATCATCATTACATATTTACTAAAACAGTATATAATACTTAATTACAAAATTAAATTTGAGAAAAAATAAGTATTAATATATTTAATTTATTTACATACATAGCTTTATTTTAAAAATGTTTTTCATAAAAAAATCATATCATTGCTTATAAAATGTTATTAAATACTTTTAAAAATATATATTTTTTTGATGTAAATAATTTTTTTTATAAAAATATTTTGTATGCTTATACCGTAGTATAGGTTTAAATAATAAAAAAAATAATAATAAATTTATGTCATTTAAATTTAATAATTTATTTTTCATAGTTATTTTAATAGGGGGTAAAGTTTTTGATTAAATTTGTTTAAATATAATTAAGGTAAGTGGTTTTACATTTGATAACATTTACTGTACCGTAAATACAATTATTATTTGGCATCATATGATTGATGTGAAATGTTTTATATAAATATATTTAAAAAATAATTAAATTTTATAAATTAATAAATATAAATAAACTAATACCTAATTATCATTAATTACTAATCAATAGACATTGTGACAAACATCAAGGTTAACACACTTTAGAAAAATTGTTATATTTGAATACCTTATGATATACTATAATGTATATCAATTATAGTTAATTTATATTAACGTATATTATCATAAACGAGATAAACTTTATTAAATTACAGGTTAAATCCAGTACTTATAATAATAATAATAATTATTATTATTACAGGTATAATGTTTTTTTTGCGTCATATTATACATGTATACTATAGATGTATTTATTGCGAAATAATATTAAATTATTTTTTATTTTTAATTTAGGGTTGACATCGGACTACGGCTACGGTGACCAGATTACCAACCAATGACAACAACAAATAATAATTATAATTTTTAGTCAAGTTAAAATTAGTAAATTTTTGAAAAAAATTATATCATTATAAAAATAAATCCAAGTTATATTAAATAGATTAAAAATTATTATTTATTTAAAAAAAACTAAACTAAATTTTTTAAAAACAATTAAATGTTTAGTTGCTTTAAACGATAGTATGCGTGAATTATTATTATTTATTTTTTTTGGACAAAATTATTGGGAACCACTACTGTATTAATAATTATAATAAAAACTTACTTTAAATTATACTTTACAACTATAACAACAATACGCAACTGTAAAGTAATGTATGGATTGTATTGTAATGTTTGTAAACACACAACCAGGGTTTTAAGAAAATAAGTGCCTGCCCTGGCAATGCCCAAATAGATGCCATAAATGCCTGGCATTTTGGGCATCTATTTTATTTGCCTGCCAATTTAAATTGCTAAAAGCAACTGTATTTATAAAAATAATGTAATTTAGTGTTTTAACGTGTTAATTAAATTTACAATTATTTTACTTATTTCCAATTATATTACCTTTTAATTAAAGGTATACAAAACAAAAATACAAGCAAATATATTATAAAAACAATGTCTTATAAATTAATTAATAATATAAAATTTAAATAATAGGTGTCACCACCTGAAAATAGATGCCCAGGGCATGGCAGAGGCAGGGCAGGCATTTGGCAAAATTGGCATCTATTGTTTATGCCTGCCATTTTTAAAACCCTGCACACAACACATTGAATGTACTGTAATACAGTATTGAAAATGTTTTTATGACGTTATGTTAATACCAGACATTGAAATGTCTTTTATTTTTTAATTATAATTAATGTTTTGTTACATTCATATCATATGAATACTTGATTTTATTTAATTAATTAATTTAATTACCGATTAATATAATTAGTGTCCAAAAAAAAAATAAAATTATGAGTGATTGCGATGATAGCGATTGCGACTGTCATTTGGTGACCACTGTCGGCTCGGAAGTCAAACTCCGATGCAAAGGCGTTAAGCGACGCAAACATGTCCTCAGCGAAGAACAATATGTCCAACAGATTGACGATATTATTGAAAGAGATTTTTTCCCAGATTTACCACAAATGAGACAACAGTTGGTAATTGGTGGCACCGATGCCGCGGCTGCGGCGGCGGCTATAAGTGCACGCAATGAATTAGCCACCAAAGCTACGGCGGCAGCAGCGGCAGCGAAGATGGCCGCAGCAGCGGTGGCGGCGCCCATAACACAAACTCCATCGACATTTGAGACGCCGATACGGGACGTCAATGATAATAATAAAGATATGTTTGGAGATGAGATGTCTGTAGAAGAACAACGAAAAAGTGAAGGAAAGTATGGTTTGGATGAGTTTCTCAATAAGTATACCTCCGAAGACAATGCATCGTTCGAGACAATCCAAGAACATGCGGCCCGAAGACATCGTCTTAAATATGAATGGCTTTACAAAGACAATGCCGAACATAATGAACGAGTCAAAGAACTATTACAATTGCCATCGATTGAAAAGCAAGCAATTGAAGACAAAAAGTCGTCCAGTGAAGTGATAACATGGATCTACTCGAACCGTAACAGTGTTATGTATAATCCGGGTCACGCACCAGTTAAACGTGACGATATATTGTTGGCCAACACTAAGCGCCAGGAAGTAAATCATTTGAACACACGTTTCACTAGATTGCCGTTCAACGAATCGGTCAATCAAATGACAATAGCATTGGCCGCACAAATCAATCACCGACAACGCACTGGCAAAGTCGGTATCGACGGCAAAGAAATGATGGCCAAAGCGACGCCGCAAATAAATGGCTTCAATTTTGTTCCGTCAACTCCGACACCGAATCCCGATTTGTGCAGCGAATCACCGCTAATGACTTGGGGTGAGATCGAGACGACACCATTCATACTATCATCGGCTGGCAATACACCGTTGCATTTATCACACGATGCGGCGGCGCCCCTAACACCGGGTAGATCTCATTTTAAAATACCCGATTTACGGCACCGGGAAAAACTTGGCTTATCATTGGCCACAAAAGCGGCTCAACAGCATAGAGATAGTAAAAAGTCGGCCATCAAACGGGTTCAATCATCGTTGACGAGTGTTGCGTCGTCGTCGTCGTCGAAGACATCGTTTGAAAAGTTATCCAATATGTCAGCGGCGGCCCAAAGATTAGCCACCAATAAATTAGGTCTTCACAAGAATGTCGATTCAACACTAATGGCCAGCTATTCGCCGGCCAGAAATAGTCCCAATAGGACTCCGTTGCGTACACCGACCAGTGGTGGTGGTAGTAGTAGTAGTGGTCGTTACTCGACATCCAGATCAGCGACATTTGAGTCTCCAATAACACCAATATTGGGCTTAAATAACAAAAGTGTTAAAAATAAATAATAAAAAACTATTTTACAAAAACACTGTTAATGTAAATATTAATTGTAAAATAAATTATTAAATGAGACATTACTTTAACAAAATTAAATTCATTAATATACAGTATATATATATATATATATAACATTTTATTAAATTATATTAAATAATAATAGATATGATTTTACTGTATAATTGTTTTTTGATATAAAAGTGTAACATTTATAAAATGCATATAAAATAATTAATAAAAAAAAACATTAGACAATAATAATTACGGTAATACAGTATAATAAAAAAATTAATAAATTTTTTAATCAACAAAATAGAGGCACAGTTTGTAGTTGTGTATGTGGGGGGTGTTTGTGACAATAGTCGATAAATGTATGATTTGACTAAAATAAAGTTTTATATCACTATATTTAACATTACTATTACCGTACGGTAACTCAAAAAAAAACCGGTAAATTACTCTTTGTTAGTTTGTATTACTGTATTAATAATAATAATTAATTTTTTTGGTTAATTAAATAATATATATATATTAAAATATGATGATTATTGATAATAATAATAATAATAATATATATAATCACATTTTTAATCCGTTTCTATGATTATTATTATAACTAATTGTTTTAAATAATGGCTTAATTACCGATAATAATGTATCATTTGGTTTATAGAGTAGTAAACGGTTTGTTGTTGTGTTTGTCTTGAAATCATTAATATGTTTGTACATTACTTTTAGGCAATCAATCCGTGGACAGGTATGACTAAACAATGGTATCAAACCATTAGTACAATTGTGTTTCATATTATTATTAGTAGACGTATTGCTTTTAATATGATTTGATGTTTGATGAGTAAATAATCGTCTTCGGCGAAAATCATCAGATGATTGTTGTAACAATGGATCCACTGTTGATGAATCCATTAACAATGTATTGCTTAACGATAGTGGAATTGATACCAAATAATAGATAACTCGATGCTATTTAATCAAATCAAATCAAATAAGATTAACAATTATCGGTAAAATAAATAGTTTATAATAATAAGTTATTAACCGAACCATAGTAATGGCTTCATTGATGATAATGGCAGCGCTCAGTATAAACTGTGACCTTTTGATCGTCAATAGGCCTAATAATGAATAATACTGTGTCACTTCCAGACCAGACATATTGTCCAATACCAACAGCGACTCTATCATTATCATCGACAACAACAACAATAAGTATCAATTGGTAAACTATAACTACATCCACTATTATCTGTATACCTCTATAGACAGGAGTCCGCCAATAGACTAGTGCGATGACCAATACCGACGATATCGATGTCATCACCAAACGGTCCAACTGTTCAAATAAATAGAAGATAGAGAAGAGTAGGTTAAACAATACTATTATTATCTTTCAGAGATGTGCTACCAATTTGTTGATATTATACGACGACGAAACAATGGCCATCGTTAGGACCAACAGTCCAAACAATAGGACCACATCTATACGCGATTGACTCCGACTCACCACTAATTGGCAACAGTTTGTGAACCGATAAATGTCTAAACGTATCGGTTCGGCCATAAGATTGTGATATTGACGTCGATGTATAAGCATTGGACATGTGATGACCACATATAGGATATATGATTGTTAAGACACCACAACCACCGCAGTTGTTATTGAATATCTGGTTGACGTATGTGTGGCCACACATTAACCGATATCCCTATAGCCGTGTCTGAATACGCCTCCAAAAAAAAAAAAACGGTTTAATTAACCAATTAATTAACTAAAACAATACATCACTTAATCAATACAATTGATTTCAAAACATCGGTCATCGGATGTGGACAACGAATGAATAGTCTGGTCAGTTAGTCGTCCGTACCGAAAGTTAGCCGACAACAAGATTGTCCGGCAAATTGTAATACAAAATACAGTATTTGTATATAAATAAAAATAACAGTAATTTCTATTACCGTATTAAAAAAAAAACTGTTTGCTTATATTCAAAACCAAAACAATAGTAGACGCAGGTAGGCAATATATTATATAGACATGGTAGAAATAGGAAAAGTTATATAAAAAAATATTATTATAAAATATACACCTATAAAATAACTAAGTTTACATTAAATTTTAAGTATATTTTCGATACTCTAGTAGTACTAAAAATATATAATTGTGTGTCTAACAAATCTAATATCTATCACTTATTAATATATTATAATCAATAAATTAAAATTTTCAATAATAAATGTGATGTTTCATATGATTTTTATAACTTATGACTCTATATAAAAATTAGTTCACTTACTTGTTGTAAGATTTGTATTTGTTTGTAGTAATACTTATGTTTATTTAAGGGATTAACTCTCCTATTTTAACCATGTCTGAGACTCACCACACAAGCACATAGATTTATCATAGATTACACTTAATATATATATATATACATATAAATAAAATAGTTTGTATAATAACTATGTAACATATAGTCTATGCCAGGCGTTATCAGATGATTATACGGTCCCTTATTTTAAAAACGTAATGATCAAGATAAAAAATAAAAAGTTTATAATACATAAATTAAATAACCATTTTTATATAATATTAAATTAAATATACTGTAGTACTTAATTAAAATAAATTTGTAACAGTCTATTTGAGCTAGATCAAATATATTTTAATAAGCCATAAGCTTTGTTAGTGCATTATTGCATTTAGCGGCCCTAATTGTTTTGGTTTTGAATATAATCCAACAGTTTTTTTATTATTATTATTTAGTGATTTCAATGTGTTTTTGATTAATACGATCGACCACTGGATGGCAATCGACAACAACATTGTCTAACCATTTATACATTGATAGTGACATCAAGTGGTCAATCAATATATGATTTTTATTTGTGTGTATTTCATGCATACATACAATACAGTAGTAGTAGTAGTAGAGTTCGGACAACTTTCCCAAGAGAGGAGTTCCCTCGGGACAGTTAGCGGGAAGTTCCCTAATAATATCCCGTTCAATCATTCCGGGAAAATATTTGGAAAAATATTTTATTATTTCTTCCTCTAACCTATTACAAAGCAAAAATATATATCTAATATTTTTATGAAATAAAATAATACCAACAAAAAAACTAAAAAAAATTGTTTGCATAAAATTTCATTGAAAATATTTATAAAATCTAATTTGAATTCAATAAATTTAGTAAATAGCAACTATTTAGTTTAATGCAATATTTGTTGTATTCAAATATGTTATAATATAATTTTATTGTTTATTGATTGATTCAATAGATGGTAGGCACACAATGGAAATATATATTCCCTGGGAATTTTCACCATTGAGCTGGGAAACATAGGGAACGTTTTTTTTATCAAATTTTGCTCTAACCCTAAGTAGTAGTAATAATAATAGTAATACTACTGTATATTGATGTCAACATTGCGTTTCGTTTGCCATAATATTTACTGTAATATAATGTATAACTGATTTTTACCGATCAGTTAATTGTATTTAATTGTAATAATAATAATAATAATAATAATCGACATAATAATTGTCGACATATTTTAATTAATTGATTGTCAAATGAAATGTTAATATTATTTATAAAATACATTGTATTTTAACCGTTAAAATAATTATCCGCTAATTTTGTTGTTGTTGTTGTTGTTGTTGACCGCTTGTGTGTGCGTTTCGCCGCCGATTGAAAATAGCGGTCAAACAACAAGACTATAATAAAGAGGACACACCATTTGCGTGACGATAACGACAGACAAAATCATCGGTTGATTAACCAGAAATGGCCGATCAGTTCTTCGATAGAGAAGCCGAAGTGTCCGATGGAAGCGAAGACGAAGAAGTAAGAAAAGAGACGTCAAAGTCGTCAAAAAGGAGATCGAAATTTGAAGACTCAGAAGAAGAAGAGGAAGAAGGTATGTGTGAAGATATTTGTGATGTTGTTGTTGTTGTTGTTTTGTATTTTGATTGCAACGAATGTTTTGTTTGGCTGTTTTAAGATGAGGATCAACTACGAGAGGTTATGCACGATCTGATCAACGATGAAGAAGAAGAACCGGCCGAAGATTCAGATGAAGAACAGGTTACCGGACGGAAGAGACAACGAGAGGACGATCTCGAAGAAAATCTTGACGACGAAGACTATGATTTGATTGAAGAAAACTTAGGCCGACGTATTGAACGCAAGAAAAAGTTCAGACGTATTCGTCGTCTTGAAGACGACGACGAAGATGAAGACAAAAACGATGGACAGGACGATAGAGAAGCCATAGCTAATGAATTGTTTAACGACGATGAAGATACTGGTCAACAGCCGTCAAATGTTAGACGCGACCGAAGCGATCGCGAAGCAATTGATGACCGTTTCGCTGAATTATCAGATTCGGGCCGTTCAGACGATTCCGATGAAGACAACTTTATTGTCGACGATGACGACCGACCGATACAGCCGCGCGTTCGCAAACCTAAGTCGCAACGATTTACCGACGAAGCCCTACAACAGGCACAGGATATCTTCGGAGTTGACTTTGATTTCGATGAAATTCAAAACTTTGATGAAACTGGCGCTGACTATGACGATGAAGAGGAAGATGACGACTACGAAGAAGGCGGCGATCAATTGGATGACACGCAACGATCCGAACGGTCGAAACGTAAGAGTAAGAGAAGGTCTGCCCGGAAAAGTATATTTGAAATCTACGAGCCGTCGGAATTGGAAAGAAGTCATTTGACCAGATTTGACAACGATATCCGTAACGCCGATATACCCGAACGATTCCAATTGCGTTCGGTACCGGTCACTCCGTGCGACGAACAAGAGTTGACCGACGAAGCCGATTGGGTTTACGATAATGTATTCCAACAGAACACCATTTCGGTTCAGGACGAATCAGGTGAGGGTAAACACGAACCGATTGGTGGCCGCAAATCCAGTCACGCCGTACCCAAGATTCGCGAAGCGCTTCGGTTCATACGAAACGAGTTACTCGAAGTACCATTCATTATACACTATCGCAAAGAATATGTCGAACCCGAGCTAACCGTCAGCGACTTGTGGCTGATCTATAAGTTTGACGAGAAATGGTGTCAACTGCAGACACGTAAATCCAATTTATCGCAATTGTATCGCAATATGCAAGCCTATCAAACGGAACAGATAATGAAAGATCCGGACGCACCGCTTCCAGAAGGCATGAGACTTATCAACGATGTCGACATCGAGCGTCTTATATCAGTGAAAACATTTGAAGAGTTACGGGACTGTTGGCTTCATTTTCAATTGTATTATTCGTCAGACGTACCCAATATGAAGAAAGAAATTTTACGAAAAGAACGCCAAAGAAAACTGAATGAAACACAAACTGATGGCGAAGATGGCGGCGGAAATAATACAGTGGTAGAAGACGATGAACTGTTGATGAACTCGAAGATGTCGTCGATGAAGTTGGCCCAACGCAAAGATACGTATACCATATGCAAAGAGGCAAATATTATCGGATTGGTCGCCAAATTTGGTCTGACACCCGAACAGTTTGGCGAAAATCTACGGGACAACTATCAGCGTCACGAAGTTGAACAATATCCAGTTGATCCGCACGAAGCGGCACACGATTATATATGTCATCGGTTTCCCACATCCGACAAAGTACTACAAGCGGCCACTTTTATGGTCGCCAAACAAATCAGTAGCGATCCTATAGTCCGCAAAAATATGCGATCGACTTATTTCGAAAGGGCTCACCTGCACGCCCGGCCAACCCGTAAAGGTATCAAAGAAATCGATGAAAATCATCCGTGTTATCAGTTTAAGTATCTGTTGAACAAACCGATTATCGATTTTGGTGGTGACCAATTTCTTCAGATTATGATCGCCAAAACCGATGGCTTAATTGAATTTGAAATCACAATCGATAAGCTGGACATGAATGCCATGACTGGTCAACAACAACAGCCGGCAACTAAACACAAATATTACGATGAAATTAAACAACTTTACCATAGAGTATGGAAATGCAGTATTTTATTTGTTGATAATAATTATCTATTATTTGTTTTTTTATTATTATTACCGTTTAAATAATCTTTAGGATGAGTTCAGTATAAATGTTCAGCAATGGAACCATCAAAGAGCTACAGCTTTGGAGATAGCTTTGGATAAGTTTTTGTATCCAAGTTTTGAGAAAGAATTGAAAACCAAACTAATGATTGAAGCACAAGAAGCCATTATCAATGTAATTATCATTATTATTATTATTATTATTATTACTACTACTACTACTAATTTCATAATAATTTTGGGATCTAATACATGTGATAGTTGTTTATTATTATTATTATTTTCTTTGATTCTTTGAATGATTATTCCGGGAGTTATATACAAACATGCATTTTGGTTGATATTTGAAAATAGTTGATGTTTTTTAGCAATTATTGTCTGATATTATTATACTAATCGATAATCAATTATCGTATATATAATTGTAAACAGCAATGTGTCCATCGGCTGTCATCCTGGATAAGAGTGGCTCCGTATCAGTTGAGTCCCGAAGCGCAGATCGAAGAGGACGAAGAATTTGACACCAGAGACGGCATTCGGGTAATGGGTTTGGCATTTGTAGCCAACAATGAAAACGCATCGTTCGCTGCCGTTGTCGACGGTGACGGCGAGGTTACCGATTACGTCAAGTTGGAGTACTTTATGCTCCGGAAGGCTGAATGGGTTAGCGATAATGAAAAGGCTTTGCGTGAGAAAGATGTCGATAAACTCAAGAAATTCATATTGAATAAGAAGCCGCACGTAATCGGTGTCGGATGCGATACCATTATCACACGTTATGTTATCGACGATATCAAAGCAATCGTTGCCGAACTTAACGAAAGCGATCAGTTTCCGCAAATAGCTGTCGAATATGTGGACAACGAGTTATCAACAGTCTATATGAACAGTAAGAAAGCGTTAATCGACTTTCATAACTATCCGCCACATCTACGTCAAGCCATATCATTGGCCCGTCGACTACAGGATCCACTTATCGAATATTCACAGTTATGTACAGCCGATGAAGAGATTCTATGCATCAAATATCATCCATTACAAGAACATTTACCACGCGATGAACTACTCAACAGTCTCTATCTGGAGTTTGTCAATCAGGTGAACGAATTGGGCGTCGATATTAACCGATCGATAGTACACCCGCACACCAGTCAATTGGTCCAGTTTATCGGCGGACTAGGACCGCGAAAGGGTGCCTATTTGATTCGTACACTAAAGAAACAGCAGACACCGCTATTGGAAAATCGTACCCAATTGGTCCAGAATTGCAATATCGGTAAAGTAGTGTTCATCAATTGTGCCGGATTTATCAAAATAGACACGGCCTCGCTGTCCGATTCGGGTACCGATACCTACATTGAAGTACTTGACAGTACTCGAGTGCATCCCGAAGCCTACGAATGGGCCCGTAAAATGGCTGTCGACGCACTCGAATACGACGAAGACAACGATACTAATCCGGCACAAGCTTTGGAAGAGATTATTGAAAATCCGGAAAAACTCAAAGATCTCGATTTGGACGCCTTTGCCGAAGAACTAAATCGTCAGGGAATGGGTCTCAAAACGATTACACTCTATGATATTCGTTCGGAATTAAGTAACCGATATAAAGACCATAGAATTCCTTATCGACCACCAAATGCCGAAGAGATCTTCAAAATGCTAACCGGAGAAACACACGACTCGTTCTATACGGGAAAGTTGGTAATGGGTCGAGTGTTGCGTGTGGCCCGTAGAAAGCCTAAGAGCGATCAGTTAGATCAGGCCAATCCCGTACGTAACGATGAAACTGGTCTCTGGATGTGTCCGTTTTGTAGCAAAAGCGACTTTCCCGAACTCAGCGACGTCTGGAATCATTTCGATGCCGGCAATTGTCTGGGTCAGGCAGTCGGCATAATGGTCCGACTAGACAACGGTTTGATGGGTTTGGTTACCACCAAACTGATTAGCGACAAAGAAGTAACTGATCCGCTCAGTCGGGTTACCATCGGTATGACAATTCATTGTCGAATTGTTAAGATTCAAGTCGAAAAATTTAGTGTCGACCTTACATGTCGTACATCGGATCTGACCGATAGTAACTTTCAGTGGCGACCGCCCAGAGATAAAGATTTCTATTACGAAGCCGAAGACAAAGATGTTCGTCAAGAGGAACAACATAAGAAACGTCAGGGAAGACAATCGTATGTCAAACGTATTATAGTTCATCCGGCCTTCCATAACATCGACTTCAGACAAGCGGAAAAGCTATTGTCGACAATGGATCAGGGTGAGGCCATCATTAGGCCGTCCAGCAAAGCCAACGATCACCTAACACTTACCTGGAAAGTACACAACGGTGTCCATCATCACATCGACATCCGCGAAGAAGGCAAAGACAACGCCTTCAGCTTAGGTCACGAACTATACATTAACAACGAATCCTACGAAGATTTGGACGAAATATTAGCCCGTTATGTACAGCCAATGGCCTCATACGCCAGAGATATAATTAATTATAAGTATTTCAAAGACGGAGACATCAAACGTGAAGACATGGATCGCATTCTTAAGGAAGAGAAGAAGAAGGCTCCGTCAAGAATACCATACTTTGTGTCCGTTTCTAAAGGTTAGCCAATAGTTTTACCGTATATTATGTTACCATATGTTTAGCTTAAATATTAAATTTTTTTTGCGGTATTTCCCAGAATTTCCCGGAAAATTTCTACTCTCATACCAACCAAATCTCAAGTCTTTTCACGAATTCATTAGCGTAACTCCCGATGGTTTTCGCTATCGAAACACAACATTTCGATCGGTACCCTCACTGTTCAAATGGTTCAAAATCCATTTCAACGACAGGTCAACATTTCCTCAGCGAACGCCAGTGGCCACACCAGTCATGAGGACACCAGCCGGCCAGTCGTCGCACGGCTCGATTGCCACACCGAACATTGATCCTCAAGCTATTCAACGAGCAGCGGCCTCGATGTCCAATCAAGTATTCAATGCACTGTCGCAAGTGGCCGGCCAGACACCGTCGTTTGGAGGCGCGGCAGCAGCTTTTGGTGGTGGTCCACCACCTGGTCATTCAATGGGCACACCATTTGGCCAGGGAGGCGGCGGAGGACGTAACTATTATGGTCAAGGCACATCAATGCAAAACATGATGACGCCGACAATGTCGACACCACGCAATTATCAGCCGACAACACCGGGCTCTATGCCTCCGCCACAGCACATACCGACGTCGTCACACCAGCGACCCGGTTCGCGTTCCGGTTCCCAATGGGCCAATTTGGCAGCCGATAGGGGTCGCAGTGGTGGCCAACAACAGCAACAACGAACACCGCATTACGCCACACCGGGAGCATCGTCTCAAATGTCAATCAGTCCCAACACTAATACTCCTAACACTGCCCGAGGAGGTGGAGACCAAACCCCGTTAGTCGACGAATGGAATTAATTAATTAAACGTTAAAATTACTGAAGTCTTATCCAACAAAAAAAACAAATCAACAATTAATTAAATATTTTTTAATTAAATAATACACTTTATATTTTAATCACATTTGAAAAAAACAAAACATTTATACATATATATAGTATATTAAGATTTGTATATCAATATCTATATATAATAAGCTTTTAATGTTTTCTGTCATACATTTTTGTTTGTCGATAAAAAATGATAATAATTATGTTTTAGATACCAATGAATGTTTTTTTTAATCAATAGTTCAAATTTATCAATTATCAAATTTCATTATTTAATATTTAGCAATATATATATATGATATGTTTCCTAATCATTAAAAACTAAATAATTTATAATAATTTATATGAAACAAAAAAAATAATCTACATTTTACTTAAATATTATATTAAATTGTTTGTTTAAATAAATTTGAATAATTAATTAAATGTTGTTTTTTAAATGATTTATTATTTAATAGGACTGTCATTAATTAACAAAAAAAAGTTTTAAATACTAAACTCAATGTTAAATGATATGCTGTACTGTATATTAATGTTTTTAAAAGTACTGTATTATTGAATGATCGCAATGTTTGTGTTGACATAATATATCGCTATAAAACACGTGTTTATATTATATATATATATATATATATACTAACCGTAATATCGGAAAAATTAATTAAATTTTCGGTTTAAACGATGGCCTCTTCCGGCCGAAGACCCGAACACACGGCTCCTCCAGAGATGGTTAGTCTCTGAAGTGATAATGAAATATATTTACATATATTTAATTTGTTTTGTTTTTTTTCTGGTTATATTTAATGATATTTTTAATTTAATTTTTGTTTTGTGTTTAAACTTTATATATAGTTTTACAACGAGTCGGAGGCTATTAAATACACTTCAAAGTAATGATTGATTTATTGATGTTTTATTAGTTGAGATGATATTTATATTTAAAAAAAAAACTTATTTTTCTGTTTCTTCAATCAATTGGTGTCTTAAAGCTCGCGGATGATCGCAATACAGGCACAGATGAGCGGTCGGGCACTGGAACTGTTGGCACTTCCCGATGCTGACGACTACCCGCGTCTTATACTGGATTTAGGGTTAGCGTTAAGAGTTTGATTTGGATCTATCTATTTATTTTGATTGTTCATCTAATCCGTAGATGTGGTTCGGGACTGAGTGGTCAAGTGGTCGAAGAGATGGGGCACATGTGGATCGGCTTAGATATTAGCGAAGCTATGCTCAATGTCTGTCGAAGTCGTGAACTGCAATCCGGTGACACACTGTTAGCCGATTTGGGCGAAGGACTGCCGCTGAGAGCCGGTCTGTTTGACGGTGCAATCAGTATATCGTGTATCCAATGGCTGTGCAATGCAGACAAATCCACACATTCACCCGTCCAACGTCTCTACCGATTTTTTTCGACGCTCTACTCATGTTTGGCCCGCAATACTCGGGCAGTGTTTCAATTTTATCCGGAAAACACTTCGCAAATCGAGTTAATCACTGCTCAGGCCATGAAAGCCGGCTTCACTGGCGGTCTGGTTGTTGACTATCCCAACAGTACTAAAGCCAAGAAAATGTTTTTAGTTCTCTTTACCGGCGGATCTGCCAATCAATTGCCTAAAGGTCTGAGCGATGGCAACGACTCGACCGTTGATTACAACGCCAACCGACAGACATATAGATCATCGAAACCCTCGAAAGCTCCAAAAAAGTCGCGTCAATGGGTTCTCGATAAGAAAGAGCGTCACCGACGACAGGGAAAGAATGTCAGACCCGATAGTAAATATACGGCTCGGAAAAGGAGTTCCAGATTTTAAACAATCAATCAATCTATCTATTGGTTAACATTTTTTGTGTGAATTATTTTTTCTTTAATTAAAAAACGTATTTTGATATCAACTGTATATTAATTATCGATGAAATTACAAATTAAATATAATTTAATGTAAATAAAAACATTCATTCATTTTTTAATTGAAAATAAAACGACGACTCATGAGAATTGGCAATTGAATTGACAATTCAAACGCAAAGAGAAGAAAAAAGTAAATCATTTGTTTTTTTTGTTTGAAAAATAAAAATAATTTTGTTTTTTTTGTTGTTTGTTTTGGTTGGTATTTGAGGACATATTTATCGTAATTAAAAGACTAACAGATTATTTAATTAATTAACGCATTTTAAGAAATTAGTGATAATTATTATTACAATTTCTGTCATCACATTAAAGATCTTCGTCGTCGTCATCGGGAAGCGATGTATTCTGTGCCTGAATCATGTCCTCTTCCAGTTTCTTCTGCCAGGCCGGATCCATGGTCACCTCCGGCGGCGCCAACGCTGGCATTGCCACAAACTCAAGGTTGGGATCGCCGATCAGCTTACGGGCCAACCAGAGGAAAGGCTTCTCGAAGTTGTAGTTACTTTTGGCGCTAATATCGTAGTACTAATGAAGAACAACAACAAAGACATCAATAAAATGGTTTGTTTTCATAATTGTGTCAATCAATCAATCAATTAATTAATTACTTGTAAATTCTTCTTTCTGTGAAAAACAATAGACTTTGCCTTCACTTTCCTGTCTTTGATGTCGACTTTGTTTCCGCACAAAACAATGGGTATGTTTTCGCAAACCCGAATCAAATCCCGGTGCCAATTGGGAACATTCTTGTAGGTCACCCGAGAGGTTACATCAAACATGATTATAGCGCACTGACCTAACAATTAGTAGTAGTAGTAGAAGAAAGCAATTCAGGTTAACAACTGTTCAATAGATAGATAGACAACAGTATGTCATGTCATGTCATGTCATACCCTGAATATAATAACCATCGCGAAGACCGCCAAACTTTTCCTGACCTGCGGTGTCCCAGACGTTGAACCGAATGGGTCCGCGATTTGTGTGGAATACCAGGGGATGTACTTCTACTCCAAGAGTAGCTATTGAAACAAACAAACAAATAATAATGATATCAAATTAGATTCAATTATCAGATTACTATCATCGACAACAACAACAACAGTCTTGACTTTACTATACTAACCGACATATTTCTTCTCAAACTCTCCGGTTAAATGTCTTTTAACGAATGTTGTCTTTCCAGTGCCGCCATCGCCCACCAAAACACACTACAAATAACAAAAAAAAATTGATTGTTAATTGATTAAGACATTCAGTTTGATGGATCAGTTCCTAGCCTATGGTTAGACATACTTTGAATGTAGGCATACCATCGCCTTCAGTAACACCCGCTGTCTGCATGTCTTGTGATGTATGTGTCAGTGATGTCGCGGTGTGTTTGTGGTGATCTGCAAATCAATTCATACACACATTATAATGGCAACACATTTTTGTTGTTGTTGTAGTTGGTATCCATACATACCTTTATGATGATAGTGTCTATATCTGACAGATCTATGGATCAACTAATTGGTGATCAATTGGTTTTTTGATTAAAGTCTTTGAATGTCTTCAATAATGCCTTCAATGAGCGCACGCTTTGTCTGCCAATGACTGCAATGCTATTCACTATTCAATTCAATTGCAACACAAATGTAACGACTATTCCATTATATCATACGATTAATAGTACAGTAAATACTACTGTAATAGTCTCTACTCTACTATTACTACTGTATTGCTGTCCATTATAGAGGTCTAAACAGTTGTGGCGCAAACATAGCTGACTAGCGTTCAATGCAATCATGCATTTCATACTTTATATTGTAGTGTAAGACAAATCTAATAGATAATTGTTATACAAATAAGTCTATATAATAGGGTTTACTATAATATATATTGTATTCAATTATCAGATAAATTCAAGTTAATTAATAAACATAGTCTAAAGTTAGTATTTTAATAAATTTATTGTATTTTTTAATTTATAAATATATGTATAAATAGTTTTTTTTAAAAACATTATGTTTAAGTTTATTGTTTTTATTGAATGCATTCACTTGTCTGCATAACACTTGAATCCCTTTGACTGTTGTAATGTGATCGTGAAGTATGATATTTATATTCAATGGCAATGATTTTACTGTAATATAATGTATGTATTAATTCATATATCACGTGACGCGGGGTTATCATTAACAATACGCCCCTATTTTTTAGTTGATTACTATTTTAATTTTATAAATGATTACCAATTGTTTTAATAATAATAATAATAATTTACTTTAAATATTATTAGTAATATTACTATAAATTTATAGTTTTTAAATAATATATTTTTTTAAAAAAAAGTTTATACAATTTTTTCAAAATTTTAATTTTATTAAAATAATCGCTAATGTAATTGATATTTCATAAACTATTATACTGTACCTTAACAATGACTGTATTAAAAAAAATGTATCAATGACCTAGCTAATTTTTACTAAATGTTATTAAATATAATTAATATAATCATTTTAATAAATAAAATATTATTAAACATTAAAAAACTTTGTATATTTAATAAATTTTTTTAATAATTTTCAATTTCATTAATTAATTAATAATAAATAGCTTAAAAAACAAATTAAAATTTAACAAACAAAAAACATTTAAATTTATAATATATCATACATTTTATAATATAACAAAAAATTATCTCCTAATGATTACTAATACTGTATATCATAATTATCAACAAAACAAAATATAAATTATAATACACAGTAATATAATGAGTATCAAATTATTAAATAAGTTATTTAAAAAACTTATTATTATTATTAATGAAAATTAGGGCATATAGTTGTTTTGGTGGTACCGTTAGTGATGGTTCCCGTAAGTGGTAACTGTGACCGTTTGATTAAATGTTGTCCATATTGACCCTGTTTGGTATAATTACCTTCCGGTCCTTTCATTGAGTTTTTCTGGTTATGAAAACATTTATATAAAAAAAATTTAAAATTAAATTTTTATTTATATAAAGATATTGGAAAATTACTTGAATAAAGTCGACAACTGTATCGATGACCACTTGATTCATAGTTAGCCGACAGCCCCAAGTGATGAGTGCCAATGGCCTGTCCTCTGCTAACTGGTTGTACGGTGTAATGATATGTTTGCCAATACAAGCGGTTACCAGTGCTCGTAGTCGGCTAACCATTATTTTATTGGCACAGGGATGGTATAACATTATTACAGCACCATGCTAAATTTTATGGTAAAAATAATCAACTATTTATTTTATATCAATTAATTTAGCATAATTAAGTTTCATAACTTATAAAATTTTATAACTATTTGTATTATATGAAATATTCATACATGCAATCAATCAATTATTAATCATTAATTAGATCTTTAATAATTAATTTTTTTATATTATAAAATTAAATCTAATTTAAAACCTCAATGTTGTGAAGCCATCTCTGAATGGGCACAAACTTGTACTCTCCAAACACTGGCCAAAGTGGTCGGTGATCGCCAAAAGTAGGCAAACTTGTGTTATAGACTATAGGCTCATCCATACAATGGTGTTGAGGCTGATAGTTATGATGAAAATTAATGGTTAGGATCATCATAACGGGTGATAAAATTTTTTATTGTTAATTATTAATACAGTAGTTATAAACTAAACACATAATATTTAATACATACATAATAATTGGCTGCAATATTGTCGCAGTGCTCAACACTTTTTATACTTGGATCAACTGGTAATGGGTGGCCACTAAAGCACGTGTAGTTTACGGGTGATCCGTCCCAGTCTACCGACAAGTTATTCTGGTATTCAAATATATATATGTATATATATATATATATATTTTATTATCTCATAAATTTTTATTTTATTATTTAATATAGTATATAAAATATATGCTTAATCATAATTAATTTTTTTTTCAATAACATCAATACAACTAATATACAATATATTATATATTGTATAATATCATAGTATATATAATTAATACATACAATGCCATCATCGCATCCTTCAAACACTTTACCCATTTGTATGCCGTGTTTCTCATCCCGCATATCATCCTTAATAGTGATAGCGTTTACAGTAAACAATGATTGCCGACAAATAATATTTATATTATTAATTAATAGCCACAAAACTAATTTGACAATCACATAATGTTGTATCATATTTGGTGGTGGTTTTAAAATATTTATTATTATTATTATAACGATTACTTATTTAGTATTATTTGTTTATTTTGCCATTTATTTTACCACTAAAAAAACTAGGTAGACTTATGAGGAAATTATGATTTCAATACATGATAACTATTGTTTTTCATTTAATTAGTTATACAGTGTATATAAATACAGTATAATGATATTATCTCATAAAGGATATGATGACAACAAAACTTCAACAAAAAAAAACAAATGTTAGCTTACATAATGTAAAATACTGTATTATCATACACCATGATATATATCAATATATATGTATAATATATACCTTTATAATAAGTTATTTATATAATAAACTTGCTTAATGATTATGATACTGCCCAGTAGTAGTCGCAAATATAATTGACTGTTAAAATGCGTACAAAATTATTATAAAAGTCATAATACAAGTGTAAAGTAAGGGTAAAGATATCCATAAAAACTTGAACTCAAGGGCAACAAGTTTTAAGAGAGAGAGAGAGAGAGTTTTAAGTGACAAATTGTTTTTGTATTAGATTTCAATTTCATTTTATTTTCTTTAAAAAAAATCAAAATTCAAATCAGTTTAATATTACTAACTTTGGAATATTTTATACATTGTTTGCTTATATTATTGTAAATTTGTCAATCAAATCAATTATATATATATAATGATAACTAATTATTAATTTTGTTACAGATTAGTTACTTAAACTTTATATATACAATATTTATTTGTTTAAAATGTTTTGTTGATTTAATTATTTATTACTTTTATATTGTTAAAGTGATTATTGTAACATATTAGACCACAGCTATTATAAATTTTTATTTAATTATTATATAATAAATATTTCATCTATTAATTTTTTATTTATTTATTATCTTTCATCTGTATTGACAACATTAACATTTGGTAAGATTGTTTATAATTAAAATATTTAATAATATTAAGTTATAATAATTTAAAATTATAAATAAAAAAATTAATTATTTGAAATACTAAAATTAAAAAATAGAATTAATAAATTTCTAGAATTTTTATTAATCTGATATTTTAAACAATTTATTAATTTTAATAAAATTGTTTTTATTGTAGCCTTATTAGACTATAATATATATACATATACTGTATATATATAAATTTGAAAATAAGTTTATAAATATTAAATAATTTTTAAAATGCTTATGTTAGATAAATTCTATAAATAGTCTATAATTTAATAATTTGCATTTAAATATTTATTTATATGTAATATAAACATGGATTTTGTAAAAATAACACATTTTTAAAAAATGCAATATTCAATTTCAAATACCATTAACAATTTTAATTTACCGATAAGTAATATTTTTACTTTAAAAATATATATATTTCTAATATTGATTCGCATAATTTTTAAATAAATAAATTTAATCAAACTGTATTTATATTATAGTTTAAATAACTTAAATCAGAATAAACTTTAATACAAACAATATTATAAATATTTATAGTTTACAGTGTAAGTTAAATAATTATTTTACATATACAATAAATCTATTTATAAATTTAGATTAAATTTTTGTATATTTTAATACTATATATTTTGTATAGATTATATATGGATATAAAAAAATTAATTTTATTATCCAATATTGCATATTTGTAAATTTTATCTAATGTGATAATGTTAACTAATTAGTAAATTATCAAGTAACAATTGATAAATTTTTGTTTTTCCTATCTCTAATGTAATACAATATAATGATAGACAATAGTTATAATTATATATAAAATATATAAATTTATATTAATAGTTAGCAATATAATAATAATAATACTTGAAAAAAATATAATAACATTTTTATTAATTAAATATTAACAATTAACAACAAATTTGTGAATAAAATTTTAATACAATAAAATCAAATTACTAAAAAAAAACAATCATTAGTATCACTAAAAAAATATGATCATTAAAACTTTTTTTTGTGAATGATTTGACTAAAATATTTTTTTTGTTAATAATGAATCAATTGATTATTATTTTTGTTAATCTTTGGTTTAATAATGATGCGCTCAAATGGGTGTATAATTTCCAATTGGTTTGTAAAATAAATGACCACATTTTAAGCGCCGAACTAACTCTCTGGCCAACAATTGTCTCTCTTTTTTAGCATTTTTAATGATTCCGTGATTTTCAATGGCCCGACGGGACAGGTATGGTATTACTTCATCTACGGGACCGTACGGAACATATTTATACACTGAATAACCTGATTGTCCTATAAATATAGAAAAACAAAAATACATTTTTATTGCCGGTAATTAATTTTTGTATTTTATAAAAAATAATTGAATTAAATTAGGGTAACAATAATAGGACATACCTAATGAAAAGCTTATTTGATCGCACATCCCATATAACTGTCCAAAACATATGACTCTATGATTTGGTTCAATTTCCAACTCTTTCATTCTAATAAAATTAAAAATTTAAAAATAAAATGTTACGGTATATACAATAATTACCGGTAATTAAAAAAAACATTAATTATATAATCAGTAAATAAATATATGGTATTAATAATAATAATAATCAATACTTTTTTAAAGTATATCTAACAGTATCTTCATTATGTGTGGCAACCATTATAGCAATCTTTTTGTTATCGATTCCCGTTTCGATAATTTTATTCATAAAAAATTCGAGATTCTTGTGATACATATCAGTGGTTAGTTGATAGGTATCGTTGATGGGGTCATCGTAGCCGATAACCTGTGCCCTATGTCTCTCCTGTTCCAAATAGGCTCCCCTAACAAGTTTGGCCCCAAAATAAAAGTTCTGTCTCTGAGCCAACTCTAGATCAACGACACAGCACTCGTGAGCACTCTATTAGATGAAATTAATGGTAAAAATCTTAATCAAGATATATCGTTAACAACAAACCTTTAGATAGCACTGATAGGTATTAAAAATAATAGCTTTTTGTTTATTATATTTTCTCATTAATTCCATAGTAATCCGATTGATGGCCGGCTGAAAGTATGTCTGTTCGGCGTCGATCAGTACCCGAACGTCCCGATCGCGGGCAGTGCTGGCAATCGTATGAATTCTGCGCATCATATTTCTAAACATTTCTTCCTCCTCGGCTGTCAGCGCCCGGATAATTGGCTCTACGAGACCAGTGGTCAGATTCGGTACACGAAACAGATCGCTAATCAGGTGTTGCATATCTATGAGTCCGTTCCATGAAAACAGATTCATTAGTCCTCGTCGGTCGTAATCCATTTGTTTTAGCCAACTCTTGATCTCTTCATTGTCCGTATCAATATTGAATCTATGGTCCAAATCATGTTGGAACTGTTCCGGTGATATGTGTCCTCTGACCATCTTTTCGACGCCAGTAATCTCTGTAAAATACTTTCGCGTTCTGACAATCACTTCCGATAGTTGCGACAACAGTACGGGACGACCCAATGCTGTCAGTTTGATCGCAGCAAAACCGGTGCCGTGTGTGGCGCCGGCCACTGCATCAATACATCTGAGAAAAGTGGTCATATTTTTCTCGCAATTGGCTTCGTTCATATAGAAATAGGTTCGGGCCACTGGTCGGTATTTGCGTCGGTCGGCAAACTCTTTTTGCGGCGAAAATTGTTTTAAACTTTCTGAATAATTATAAAAAAAAATTTTTGTTATTATTATTATTAACAAAAATTTGTTATTCAATTCAATTCAATTGAATTATTTATTTCAAATATAAACCATATTTTCCTAACCGTCTTTGCTCTGTTGGTGGTTTGAATTAGTTGTTTGATCTCTGCATAAAATTATACAATTAATTGAAAAAAATTGTTTAATTAAATATTAATTAATAAAAAATGGTTTTAAACAATTACGGCATCTCATGGTGAATGGCTTCCTCTTCGGTAATATCTTCTTCAGCGCTGTAATCGAGTATTGATTTGACACCAAACGAGCGCAAGTGATCCAAAGTCGGTCGGATTGTCTGTTCATCTTCGCCGGCGACAAAGTGGCCATAAAATGAATTTTTTAACAACCATTTAAATAGCGAATCGCCTAAAACTTTTCGACCAATTTTTATTAGCTAAATGTTTAACAACAAATTTATCATCAAAACTATTTGATTGATTCATAAATTGTGTAATAATTTCAATTAAATTCAATTTTTTTTAATAAAAAATAAATTATAATATGTTTTTCTAATATTTATTGTAAATCAATGAAAATTTGTTATATATTTTTAATAATACAGAGCCTTATATTTTAATACCTAGAAAAAGTATTAATTAGTATTATAAGTGCCATAATTTATAATTTTTACAAAATAATTTAACAAACAAAAAATATAATATAAATTTTATTTGTCTAATAAAAAATATCTAATTCAAATAATAATAATATAATTAATTATATAATATAATGTAATTAAAATATTTTTATTAGCTAATATTTAATATATTGTACTAAATTTTTTATTTTATTTTCTACACTTGAATACTACTGTATAAAATGCATCGGCTTTATGGGTTAATCATCAATAATTAATTTTTAATTAATTAGATTAGTATAAATAGTAAAAAAATTGAATAATAATCATATGTAACCCATAAGAATCACAGCAAATATAACTTATTTTTTTTAAATAGTATTCAATAAATAGTATGATATAATACATGTATATAAAGTAGAATTAGTTTTTTACTAAACATTTTTATTGATATTTAAAACTAAATAATTAATTATAATTAATTAATTATTGGACATTAATCGTTAATAATATTGTATATTCTAAAACTATACCGATTCTGATTAAAAAAAAAATAATGTGTAGTTTGAAAAAAATATATTTTATAAAATATTACAATAATAACAGTATTAATAGAGAATATTCTGTAAGTGTATAGTGATTATACTGTATATATATATACAGTATGTTTATGTATTTTTTAATTGTATTATAATGTAAATATATTGAAGGCATTTGTGTTTGGCCTATATATTGATATATATATATATATATAAATATTTAAAAAATAAAAACATTGCCATATTTTTTGCTGTTAATATTCAATTGACCTTGATTAAATTTCCAGACAATGAAATTTTTTTAATCGTATGAAATTAGCAATATCATATATATATACTAAACTACAGTACATATACTGTATAATAAACTAACATATTTTTTAACTGATTAAAATACAGAATATAATTAATGTATAAATACTAAATGATCCAGGTGCTCTATAATTGATACAGGTGCTATTATTCATATAGGAATATATATATATATACCATACCTTAGTATGATTATTAACGAGGACATCGTACTGACACAGTTTTAATACAATCAATGCCCGTAACAATTGACTGGTTGTCTTGCTTTTGAATGCCTCGCGAGTGTTGTCAAAGTTAAGGCCAGTGGTCGCCGATTGGTGTGACGACCTCCCAGTGCTGTTGGTTGTGGTGGTAGTCGACACATGTCGTCTACTTTTATTATTATTGACTGAACTATTGATTGTAACTAATCTATTGACTAAACAACAACAAGACATCCGATTCTTGGCGATAGTTGTTGTTGTGGTAATGAAACACATTCTGTAAGCCATTTGAATGTTTTATTCTTATGGATTAACTAATCAATCAATTGATGTGTTATTTACTACTAAAACACATATAATAATCTAAATATTTGTATATTTGACTAAATAAAATTAACTACTATTTAATTAAAAATGATGTATCAATGTACAATACAAAAAAATGTACATTGATACTTTTTTTTATTTTAATTAACAATTAAAAATTGAAGTATTTATTGATTAGAAAAAACATACACACTTAACACATTAACACATTTATTTTATCGATAGTTATTATGTGTATATAATTAATATTAACAAGTTTTATCATTAATTTCATTCAACAATAATAATAATCACTAAAATAATAAAATAAATTAATGATTTGTATTACTTATTTGACAACATGTATAATGACGTGATATCAAACAAATTAAATAAATATTAATATAATAATCAGCTAGCAACATTTTTTAGACTAGTAATAGTTTCAATTCAAATAAAATGTATATATCCTTATCTCAATATACTTTACTGTCTATAACTATATATATTGTATAAAAATTGTACAAATATTTAGCACATTATAATTTAGTAATAAATTAGTACAGTAGTAGTTGTTTATTATTAATGTAATGCAAAACAATTATGCAATCAAATGCACTATACATAAGGTATTTACAGTATTTTTATTAATATTATTATACATTAATACTGTACTGTATTTTTTAAACAGTACTGTATATGTGTTCAACTGATATATATATATGTATTAGAGGTCGAAACGGAATATTGTTTATCGGAATATTATACATAATTTTAAATATACAGTATTTATACCATTTATATACTGTATATTATTTTAAGGTCATACGGTAAAAATATAAAATTATTATATATATTTTTTAATTAAAATTTTTTTGTTACTTTACTATCTATCCATGGTTAAATAAGATAAGTTATAAAATAATTCAGTGAATAAAATATGATTACTTATATACTGTATATACAGCTCTAAATATTCTACATTTTGTTGTTGTATTCAATAGCTATTTAATTAATTAATTAAAAATAATAATTAAAAATAAGTTTAAAACTTTGACACAATTAATTGATCTGCAATTAAATCTTTGAAAAAACAAACATTTTTATTGCTTCAAACTATAGGCCACTTTTTACAAAAAAAAATTAATTAATTAATATTACGATATTTTATAATTTTATTTATTAATAAGTTTTTTATTCCTAAAATATTTAAAAAGGCATTTAAATAAATTATTTGCTATTATTTTTCTGGTATAAATTACTTTTAATTATAAATAATTATTTAGTCAAAAAATGGTGCTAATTAAATTTAAATAATTAATTTTTAACCTGGTAGACTCTGTACAATACTTATATATTTTATTTATCTATAAATATATATAATAAGCAATTTGAGCTAATTGTACTAATTTTTTCATTAATTAAAGTACTCAATAGTTTTATTTGTTTTTATTTTGCTGTTGGGTTTTGATATATTGATTGTATGTGAATATGGATCAGTAGTCTCATTCAAATTAGATGATAATATATATATATAAATTTATAATTAGGTGTCAGTTTAAAACAATTTTTTGAGAGCTATGGCTAAAAAATTCATAACTTTTGATCCATCAAATAAAACCCCAAAACAATCCCTCAAACAAAATAAAAATTAAATAGATTTTAATAACTTTTTATATAAATAAACTTAATATTTGTAACAATTATGACAATGTCTATGAAGTATACGGAATGTGTTATATAAACAAACAAACAAACAAAATAATTAAAATATTTTTTCTTATCACAAATCTAAGCCTAGAGATTATAAAGTTTAAATAAATTATAAAAATATATGTATTATTAGTTCTCATATTTAAAAAAAAAATCATTTCAATTAAATTTAAAAACCCGATTAGTGTGAGATACAAAACTCATAAACTTTTAAAAAACAAATAAATTTGAGTACTTTTTATACGTAATACTTTTTTTTAACAAAAATGTGACTAATTATGCTATTATTGTTATATTTAGTAAATAAATTCATTTAATAATTGTTTGCCAATTTGTTTTTTTGAACACTAATTGTTGAACCACTTCTTGAGATGAGTGTTGTGTAGAGAATAGGATTCATTATTTTTGAAGAGAGAAGTTATCCATAGTTTTATGGTTTGTTGTTGCACTTCATGTCATTGTATTGGGTAAACACTGAGACCTTATCTTTGAGTTGTTGACAAAATTGAAGAGAAACGGTAAAGAGTACGAGTGCTTCACTTAACCAACCGACTGATGTCTCGGCCTAAACCAACCAACAAATTATATTAATAATAATAATAATATCAATTACCGTAAATATTTCATCATTACTTGAAAGATATCAAACTTTAGTTGTCCGGAGTGGTCGCGCAGCATATGATAGACAGCGCAAACCAATTTGTGGGACTGGATGTAGAAACTGACGGCCAAGTCATTAGGTAGGGGTGGCTGAAGTGAATGCTTTTTTTATGAATGATTAGATGACAACAAAAACCAATTCAATTAATTCATAAATCAATTACTGATTCAATTCAATAATTAAATAAATACCATATTTCTGCTGCTCTGCAACTCTTCAATCGTACGCTTCTTCGGCACAATCAAACTGTTGCGACCCCTTTGCAGACAACCCATAACATTGTTAATCATCTATGGATCAGATCAATCATTCAACAATCAAAAAACTATTAGTTAGTTCATAAAATCATACACACAAACCTCGATCACCTCCTGAGCCGATCGGAAGTCATATTTATTATCATTTGAATCGTATCTGAGTGGTGGCGAAGTCAATAAATTAAGAGCAGATATGAGATGATTGGAGGCGTCTTGAATCTGGGATCCATTCAAAGTAGTAAATCAATTGATATATAATAAAAGATGTCATAAATTTCTGACATTTATATATATATATATCAAATACCTGATGTAGTTTCCATTGACAATCATTTTGAACAATTGTCCGCTGATTAGGAATGGCGTGTTTATGAAGACGAAGACTTATATCCTATTATTAGTTATGAATAATAAATAACTAAATAAATAACTATTTCTTTAAAAAAAACTACTAATTGATTTACTAGTCTTGAATAATAATAATTATTAAACAACAAATTGCTTACAGCATAGCATATATTATCGGCCGAAAGAGTGGCCAAAATCTTGATCTGATCCAAATGTGAACTCCAATTAAGCTGTAGTTTCTCTGTTTTGACCAATGAGTCCAATCCGGGCATATTATGGACAGCGAAACGGCGACAACACTCCTATAATTGGGGTGAAAATAATTAACAATTATTGTATCAATTGATTGTTGAAATATTTTATTGTCTTATATTATTATTATTATTATTATTATAAATACCACAATCAGTGAATGCAATTGAGATAATATAGTATTGACTTCTTTGTTGAGAAGCCATTCAAACTCCAATTCCTATTTAAATAGTGAACAAAAAAAAAAGGACAGTCAGTCAGTCAATTAGTTTAGCAAATAATGACATACCAGTGCTGATAATTCCTCATCCATTTATAGAACCGATTCTCTCAGATATAATAATATATGTGATAAAAAACAATTTAATGTTAATATGTTTTAATGTTTAATAAATTTATGCTAAATTTAATATAATATATTAATCATATTAATATGACCAATGTCATAAAATTTTTCAAACTATCTCAATTGATTGACAGCAATAGTAATGACATTATATACACAGTAATGTGATAGCAATTAAATGTAATGTCCTATCACTTGTATTATACTAATGCATACACTGTGTGTTTGTGTGACTGTATTGTATTAATACATTGATTATACAGTACAGTACAGTATACTGAACATTGAAATTTTAAAATACCCAATGTATTGCTATCAATTGTAATACAATATCATAGCGTATATGTAAACTTCAATGTAATATTATTACTGATATACTGTAGTACTGTATAGTACTCATACATTATTTATATGTAAATAAATTAAAGTACGGTAATAATAATAATAATAATAATAATAATAAAATTAGAGATGCTCATGTTAATTAATATTCAATATGGTATTAAATAAATTATCATTAAGTAAATTAGATATTTTTTATTAATTATTTATACATTTATATACAGTATATATACAATATTTATATACACTTTTAATTAATAAAACATTTTTTATTTTTATTGTTATTTATATAAATAAAAAATTTAATATACAATTACCGGGTAATTTAACTGTATTTAATAAATATTTTGAAACATATGAAACAAATAGTTTGAAGTTTTAAAAATTGTAATAATCAATAAAAAAATTATTCAATAAATAAATAGTAATAAATAAATTGGACAACTAATCGGTTGAATCGGTAGCAAAATATTGGCCACTTTTGAACTGTTTGGGTGACACCTGACAGCTTAGTTGAACACATTTGTTGCCAACAATTAGCTCATTATCCTCTTCATAGACCAGTTGATCGCCAATAGTATTAGATGTCTTCAATGGTTTAGTCTCACAAATACTTTAAAAAATAGAGTATAATATTATTAATAAGATTATGAAATTAATGGTTAAAAACATATGATTATCATATATAAGATATATATATATATGGATACCATTTGCCATCGATGGCATACAATTGACACCAATTGGTGGTCAAATTGATAGACAGAAAGCCGTCATCCGAGTACTGTTGATACTTCTTGTACGGCTTGTGATTGCCATAAATCACTTGAAACACTGTCTGCTGATTGTTGTTGTCGTTGTTTTGAACCGTTGTTTGATGTTTGCTGTCACCACACGTGTTATCCAATCGAGACAACACGTGCTCTATTGTCCGCATATCTGTACACGAGTTGATGATATCTATAAAAAATCAATTTATCATTCATTCAATTAAATGTATAATTAATTATATGATTAGTACTAACCATTGAATGACATGTCTATTATATTTATATGTCTATAGAAATTGTCAATTGTTTGACTAGACTATCAATTTCTAAAACATTTACACAAACTTTCTAAACATATCCATATGTATTGCATGTCATAGTATTTACAGTGTATTTACTAACAATAATATTAATATTATATAAATTGAGTCAAATGTTAATTTTTTTTTAGTACAATAGTTGTCATTAATCTGATGTAATTAATTAAATTTGTTAATATTATAACTTATGTTACAATTATTAATAATTGTATTATTTTTTAGTAATAAATCATAATTTTTATTTAATATAAACCGTAATCTACAGTGTATACTATACTATACTGTACACTGTATGAACATTTGTACTGTACTTTATATTTAGATAGTGTATTGATTAAATCGGATTTATTTAATTATATCCTTAAAATAAATATTAGTATCAAATATATTTTTTCAATTAAGATTAGATTATATATATGTTTAGAAAAATACAAAAAAAGTATTAATTGTATAAAAATATACTTCAGATGAAACTTTTGTATAACATTTAATACTTAAATATTTCAATTTTATTTAAGTGAGAAATAACATTTAATTAATTTTTAAAAAATAAATACTTTTAAAAAAGTTGTATTTAAAAACATATACTACTGTTGTAGTTAATAAATAATTATTGTTTGTTTGAACAATTATATCGAAAAATGTCATATCAAAACATTTTAAATCCAATACAATTAAAAGAGTTGGCTAAAAGTTGGATCAATGAGGACTTGTCGAGGTTTGCAAATAAATTTGATAAATTCATATAAAAACTTATCACTTAATTTTATGGATAAGTTTTGATATGCAGGCACTGGTCTGCGATGACAAAGAGGTTCGGGCAGTGATACTATGCAAGAGTGACGGTGTTTTAGCTGGCGTTCCCTTTGCTAACGCTATATTCAATGAACTGGACTGTCGTGTCAATTGGCTAACTAAAGAGGGCGATAACATATCGTTAAATGGTCAAAAATCGGGATCAGTTCAGATAGCCTACGTTGACGGCAAAGCGCGATCTGTACTATTGGCCGAACGTGTCGTACTTAACGTATTGTCCAGATGTTCGGGTGTGGCCACTCAGGCTAGACAACTGAGACAATCATTGCAAACAATCGGTTGGAAAGGTATGATTGCGGGCACACGGAAAACAACACCCGGATTTCGTACAGTCGAAAAATATGGACTTTTGATCGGAGGAGTATCGCCGCACAGATACGACTTGTCGACAATGGTTATGCTCAAAGACAATCATATTGTCATCAGTGGTTCAGTGAAGGCGGCCATAAGTGCAGTCAGAAGTGTCGGTGATTTTGTACCGAAAATTGAAGTCGAGTGTCGCAACCCGGAAGAAGCCGAAGAAGCGGCACAATTAGGCGCCGATATCATTATGTTAGACAACTTTGACGACCAATTACTACTACAGACAGCGCAACATATAAAAAGCCAACACAAAGATTGCTTGATTGAGGCCAGCGGTGGTATCAATCCGGATAATGTCCACAAATTTGCCAATCAATGGATAGATATTATATCAATGAGTTGCTTAGTTCAGGGCTACCCAACAGTTGATTACTCGATGAAAATTCAAAAATCTTTATAAAAAATTAATTAATTTTACAGTAATTGATAAAATTTATTTTTCAAATTAAATTTCAACTTATATTTTATATACTGTAATCTGTTTGTGTGAATCTATTTATACAAATATAATCAAAATCAGAAACAAACATTTACGCTAATATAATTTTTTTTATTGAAAATGTTTAAATTTATTTAGACATTTTAATTTAATTTACAAAAGCATTATAATTAGAGCGTAATTTTGATTGAATTAAAATGCTAACCAAATCCTAAACAAAATTATCGATAATTTTTTTATTCAATTATTTATTAGTGATGACTAAAAACATTTTACTTATACACCTAAATTCAATCGTAAAAAATGAAATTAATAGTTATTATTATTATTATTTATTTATTAATTAATTACAATGATTTTAACCATTAATATGCATACCAGTATTGGTATTGTAACTGTTTTGCTGCTGGGCTTGAGAGTTGGTAATAAGCTGTACGGGTAGTATAGTGGTTCCGGGACCGGCAGCATTGTGATGGTTAGCTGAAGAGCTATGAACTAAAGAATGAGGTCCTCCATGAGGACCTGAATGATGTGATGTTGGCAACAAAACTATATTATGATAGGTAGCGCCAGCACCCGAGTGATGTGCTATCGTTTGATTGTTCGGGTTGTGTCCCTGCGCCACGTTTGCATACATAACAGTTTGTTGTGGTGTAGGAGTAGGTGGTTGGTTAGGCTGATGATGAACCGGTGATGGCGTCGGCGCATTACCGTGAAGCGGTGTAGTCGGTGTAGCCGACTGTGGGGTACTGTGTCCTGAATGGCCACCACTGTTGCCCATATGTTGATGCGATTTATGTTGATGTGGCTGTTGTTGTTGAACCATGTGTTGCAATTGGACAGCACCGGCTAATAATAATAATATAGTTATTTAATTACCGATAATAAAATAGATATTATATAAATTATGGCTTAAAGTTTGCTTTACCTGCGTATAGATGTTGCAATTGTGTGGCATCGTATTGGACGGCTTGCGGCACACCCATTGTCATCTGAGCCGTGTGTTGAGGCATCACATTCATACTCATACGGGGATGAAATTGTTGATACATGTGTTGATACATGTGCTGAGGTGGCGCTTGCTGTGCCACCATAGTTGTTTGTTGCTGATGACCGTACGTAACGGGGATCTGTTGCGGTGCAGAAATGGGAGCGGTAGCCAATACAGGATGACCAGTAACAGCGGCGGCAACGTGCGCCGATTGTTGTGTAAAATCGTGACGCACGCCATGCGTGTACTGTTGGGGACCTTTCGACCGATAATTTCTTGACTGATTGGCGTTAGGCTGTTGACTATATGTGGGTGTCATAGAAGGCGGTATATTTGTCATCAAGTATTGGTTGTGTCCAAGCGGTAGTGTAATTCCCGGTTGTAGTACATTATATTGCGGTGGAAGTTGCACTAAAGAACTTTGGAAGCGCTGGGCTCCATGTGCTACACCACTAACGGGTATTGTCTGTTGTTGTTGCATTGTATGAACCGGTGCTGTTAGCGTTTGGTGCTGCGGCGGTATAGACACCGTCGATGACGGTGTCGATGCAACTGATGGTGGAGTCGCCGATGGATTAATTGATGACATCGGTGAACGAGGCGTAAACGTCTTAGCATTCGGATTAAGTGTCGACTTTTTGGCAACTTCTGTACCACCACCACCAGAGTCACCACCACTTGAATCTGATTTTTCTTGTTTATCCTCTTTAACCGGTGTTTGTTCATTCACTTTATGATGTGTCTGTTGAGTGTCAATTGGTTTATCTTTTACATGTGTTGTCGTCACATCATTACTACTACTACTACTACTATTAACTATATTCACCGGTAATTTATTTTTGACACTTTGAGCAGCACTGGTATTAGCGGTGTTGTTACCACTATTAACGCTGGCATTAGTATGTTTGGATTGAGACTCATTATTCCTACTTAATTGAGTATCTTTATGAAGTTCTGCATTATTTGGACTTAATTTGAAATCATTATTCAATTTCATGTCACCACTATTCATGTCATCCTTTTTATTATATCTATTATTAGCAGGTCTTCGACCATCAATAGTAGTGTTTCGTTGAGTAATTGAATTTGTTTGGGAAGTGGTTGACGACGAGTGATCATCCACTTCGCTCTTAGAATAGATGTGAGCTGTGGTGGTGGACACAGATGAAGGCTCTTGTGATTTATATGAAGACGTCATGTTTGCATTGTTACTATTATTTGAAAATTGTTTACTATTTGGATAGTTTGGAGATTTAGGGGAATGGAATGCTGGAGAGGAACCCATAGAAGCATTTGAGTTAACACTACGATTATTACGACCACCACTACCACCACCGCGACCACCACCTCCACCACCGGTTCCAACACCACTACTATTAGGACGCCGAGGATTTGCCATTTGATTATTATTTCGGTTCATTTTTTGCTGATTATTATTATCAGTTGTCCGGATGACTGAACTGTATTTGTCTTCATCGTCGGCGTCTTCTTTTGCATATCTATCGGTTCGTATCGGTTCCGACTCTATATCATTGGCCACATCCTGAGCCATACGCTCTTTTTTAGCAAACTCTTCGCCCTCTCCCGTAGGCAGTGCACAGCTAATCATTAAATAAATAAATTTATTAATTACAGGTAATTAATACCATTAATACCTCGATATATATATGATATCAATTGAAAAGTTATGGATACATACGTGTATTGATCCAGATTTGGATTAAAATTGCTTTTGACCTGAAATTTGGTTTCATTAGTACGAAACATATCGTCCGGATCCCAACCATTCTGAGTGCTGCCATTGTGGTCGCATTCGAGGTCGAGGTCATCGCCACTATCACCGGCTCCCCCATCCCAGGGTACCAGTTCTCGGTCGCGATTCAACTGTTTAGCGTCGAATCGACTGATCTCTGTGTCGGTCAACATATGGCCTAATAATTTAAACGTCATTTTAAAAAACAAATGTCAGCCAAAAATTAAAAAAATAAATATCAATAATACCTTTATTTGTGGCAAAATTCAAGTCGACATTAATTGCATGCAATTTAACCACATCTGCAAACTGGAAGATAACTCGCGGCGAAACCTCGTAGTTGGCCTCCAGACTGGCCAACAGTGTGCCAATATTTGAACCGATAATTGCTGGAGTGTTGGCGTCAACTTTGGTTACATAGTCGATGACCAATTCAAACTGCATTTTTTTGTGATTAAAAAAACAATTAGGTAGTGGTCACACAAATGGTCACATTTTATCGTCAAATAATAAATAAGACAACGGTTACTAACATCGGGCGAAAAGGTACGCAAAACGCCCTCATATTTGGTGCCGTCTTTGCACTCGATATGGACGAGACAGCCGACCAGCGATGTCGTACAATGCATGAGCCGGCCGTTATGATAGACACCCTCTGGAGTCTGTGCCCTATCCTTAGGTGGACGTCCACCACCACCGCCGCCGCCACCACCGCTGTGGCCGTGACTGTGGCCACCGCCAGTTGATGTGTTACGCGCCGACCGATGCATCTCTTTTGTGGACACTATTGAGTGTTGTTATTGTTGACGGCTTTTTAGTTGGGGTTTACTAATATTAGTTATTTTTATTTAACTAATTAATTAATTAAATCAATAATTGTTTCAAAAATTTTAACTACAATTATATGATTATAATAATAATAATAATAATATCATATAATTATTATATGATATTATACTTAAATAATATTAAGTGTGAGTCAAATGTTTAATAATAATAAGCAAACCATTGGATTGCTATACAAATAATATGGCGTTTATAATGTACAGTGTATTGCAGTCACTATAGTGTTGTATGTATTTTAGTGTTATGTATAGTACTGTACTGTACTGTACTGTTGACACCACAACACTATTAATATTATATGTGTGTCACAAATATTGGGCCAAACATTAAATACGTTTTGTCTTTCTTCAATAATTAATGTCAAAAATATATTTTTTAATTATTTTAAATATTTTTAAAAATACAGTAAATATTCAATTAATTTATATATTAATTCATATATTAACTCAATTATAGTGAAAAAAAACTATAGAAAGCTATTTAGATTATTTATATCATTATTATTATTATTATTACATTATTACTATTCATATGTATTCTTAATAGTTTTGATATTTGCTTTTTCAAATCATTAACAATAATAAAAATTAATTATTTTTTAAAAAAATCAAAGTTTTATAAATAATAAGTTATCATCAAATTGTGATTAAATAAATGATATTATTAGATATATTTTTTAATTTATACACTAAAATGTTTGAGACTTATATAAAACCTATTAATTAATAGAGTTTTAAACATTTTTGTTGTTGTTATCAATTATCATATATGTTTTTAGTGGAAAATAAATATGAAAAAATTAATTAATTAATAAATTAATGAGAAAATATAAATAATTATTTAAAAAAATAAATAAATAACAAATTAAATTTGTAACATATCATTGATATTCACATTGAATTATAAGTCTATTATATTGTACTGTATTTAATGTATAACTTGTTTTACATTTGTTTTGACGTAAGTTATTGCTGTTTAATAGTGTTTTACAGAATATTAAAAATTTAAATTTATTATAACATTAATAAATATTTGTATTTAAATTTGTTATAAATTATAAAAACATATAATATTTTGATTCAGTAATTTATTTAATTAATAGTTTTTAAATAAAAATAATATTAATAATAATTTATTTATTAAATATTTATATAAAAAGTGAGTTTAACTTGAAATGTCCATACATTGTGTTTGCCATTGATTTGACACTATATTATCAATTGTTAGGTTTGTTTCAACAATTTTGTGATTACAATAAATGTGTTAAAACTAATAATAATGAAAACAACTATTGAATTAATTGTTGTATTATTTTATTATTATTAGTAGTTCATCAAAGTTGTGATATATGATTGAATCCAATATTACCGGTAATTGTTTGATTAAAAGGCAATGTGATTGACAAACAAATATTAATAAGATTTGATGTGATCTCTAAATAATAATAAGTCCGATATATAGACAATGATTGATACGGCCATCAGCGGCGGCGGCGGCTTTGCAATGGTAGTCGAACCACGATATGCACCGCTGGCCAAACCATTGTGTCTGCAGAGACTCGAACGGGCACTTCGTTTGGACGGTTTAGTAGCACAGCTCGAGAGGACACTCAACGATAAGAGGTAATGACGAGACCCACGTATTTTTGGTCACAATTATGTTTATCTAATATTTTAATATCTGTATCGAAATTTGAATATTTATTTATTTTATAAATATTTTGATTATAAAGTTTGGATAAAGAGATAAACACAACGGTCTCTAAACAGCAGTCGAAAGCAGTGAAGACACGAATCTATAATTTGTCGAAAGTCAAGAAAAACAAGAAATGGCTTAAAAATATACTTTTGGACAAAACAGACGACGACTCGTCTGATAATTTGGACATTGAATCTGATCTGAAAGACGACGATTGTATTCGCGAAATGCTTCGCTTTCATAGACTCGATAAGAAAGTTCGCAAAGAGTGTAGCCTTCAAACTGATCCGCAACAACAACTCATGCAATATCAACACTACAGTACAAGTCTATTGAATCCAATTCAAGAACAGTTTATAGTGTCAATCAATACTAATAAGACTCCAAACAGTCGATCAAAATCGACCAAAGTTTCTGTGTCTAAGTCTAAGAAATCTAAAACAACAACACCAGTAGTTGGTGTCATCTCAAGCGTTACGACCAATGGGGCAATAGAAGTGAAAACTGAAGACACAAACACTTGTTTATCCACAATTACTGATCCGCTGACACTGCTGGACAAACCGATAAAAGTGAAAAAGATTGGATTGGATGACATCACATACGATACACATTTGCCAAAAGAAATACTTGAAACAAAATGTTCAAATACATCGCCATTTGTGGAACTATCGGTCACTTCTAGCTATACTCAGTCATCAAATGTAACTAATCTATTACCCGAAGATATCTTTGACACTGAAGAGTCTTTTGGTTCAGTACTATCTCAGACATTATCACAGCAAACACCGACACACCCGACGATGACTAACTTTTCGATACCAAAGTACGCTACAGTTCCGACAACCCCGACTTGTTTAAGTCCATTGACATCACCAATATTACCATCGAAACGATCGACAAAGAAAAAAACATCGACGACTACTTCGCTGATGAGTGACGAGTCCACTATGAATGCCCGCCGAAAAAGTTTATGGATTACGATTGCCCGCAAAGAGATACCCAAAGTTTATAAACAAAAACAAATGTTGCGAAAGGAAGCGTTGATGAACTGCCAGACGATTGCCAATTGGTGTCAACGGGAACAACTAAAGCGAACGCTTATCCATCAGAAACAGTTAGGTCGCCACCAATACCCCAGAGCTCGACGACTGACCAAAGAAATGTTAGTCTATTGGAAACAGTTTGATAAAGTGAAGAATGAGTATAGAAAAAGACTTAGAAGAAGGCATAGGATTTATTTTACCGAAAATAATATCAAAATCAAAATAACTCTTTAAGATAACTGTTTTTTGTTTGTTTGTTTCACACATTTATCCCAAAACAAACCATATTTTATTATATTGTATTATATTTACATCAATAGTATAAATACGAAAAAAAATAAATTTACGGTACTGTAGAAAAAATGCTAATTTAATTTAATACAGTATTACTACTGTATATACCGGTAATTAAAATTAAACAGCGTATAAACATTATTTTAATTTATGTTTATATAAAAATAATTTTATTTATTTATGTAAATGCTTTTAAAATTATTAAAATTAAAATATTTAATTACCGGTAACATGATAATTTATATGATTTTTTTTTGTATTTAGTTTAATGCAACTAAATTAACTTAATTAAATTTAGATTATTAATTATGTTTTAAAATTCCTAGTAATTTTAAATATAATTGTAACTTATTTTGTACTTGTTATCTATTTTTTGTATTGACCTAAAATAAATTTATATTAATTTAATATTATATTTTACATTAAGCTATTGAAATGAATCAAGATAAAAAGTGTATAATGCTATTATTTATTGTGATAATAAGTTTTTTCTATTTATTATTTTTTTAATATACCTGTATTATGCATTGTTTATTAAATTTACTAAATTTTTTAGTAATTTAAAAATATTGCTGAAATATTTAAATTGTGAAAATTATAATAAGTCTATTTTTAATTGTAATTTTAGGAAAATTGTAGTACCGGTTGTAATTGTAATCACTTTTATTTTTTGTTTTAAAATGCATTAAATGTTTACATATTATTGTATAACTCTATTAAGTTTTTGAGATTAATTGACTTTATTTATATATTTTGTTTTAAAAGTTTACAGATAGCTTTCTTTTTGCTTATAATAATATGTTTATTGTACTTATTTAATGCAATATTTTCTAATTATTTTCTATAGTTTTTTTACCGTCATATTGAGTGCTGGACTTCTATTTATGGACTTCTTTATATTTGTGGGTTAATATGAATAATAAATTATCAGTTAAAGTGTAACATATGATCCATAGATCTAAAGATTTTTTTTCTCTCTCTCTTTCAAAAATAGTATATAATTTATGGAAATAAGTGAACAAAATAAGGTGTATAATACAGTACTTTCATTTAAAGTATAATAAATTCATGTATTATTAATATTATTAATATATACATGTTATAATTTATTATATATTATTATATAATACTGTAATATTGAATAATAGATAGTATGTTCAGTATAATATAGTAAACTATAGTGTATTTTCATATAATGTATATTATATAAATAATAAATTGTTATATTTAGTTGTCTATCTTTAAGTATTAATATTAATATTTCATAAATATTCGTATAATATAAATCACTAAAATTAGATACATATGATAAATATTGTATAAATTGTTCGTATTATTCATATCTAGTATTTTTATCTAAAATAGTTTATTATAATTATGTTTTGAAATAAAACTTTTTGTGATTGTAATCATTAAATTATAATAATAGTATAACATGTGTGACCTATGCTTTAGTCCATTGTTGATGTACAGGTACTACACTTATCAATTGAATTTTGAAATGTAATGCTAATATTATTATTGAAAATATTATATTAATTGATTGTAAATTGTTATATACGAATATTATTGTAAATTTTAATATTTTAATGATTTTTATCTAATTTAATTAATTAATTACATGCAATGCAATTATATAAAATTTAATTAAATCAATTAATACTATTGTATACCAATAAAATCTTTACTAAAAATTTTAATGCATGATTTAATTTAAAATAAATAGTAAATGAGTTTTATAATACTGTTGAAATAATAAGTACATAACACTCCTGTTTTTTAATAAATAAATTGCTAATGACAATAATACAATAGTCACCTAAATATTTTTAAAATGATAGTTTTAGATGTATTGCAAATCATGATATAAATGTTTATTAATTTGTGTTTATATCCTAAATCATTTGGTAAATACTTATCATTTCAAATAATTTATTTGTTTTACACTTGAATTGTTTTTCAAAAACAAAAATAAGTTTTGAAAAATTGATATTTTAGTCGATTAAGTTATTGTACTGATAATTGTGTCACAAATACTGTAGTTATGATTGTGCCATATAAAAAATCAAATATTATTTATATATAGTGTATATTGTTTTATATAATGTCAGCCAAGAGGCCGACAATTAGATGATATGATGGTTTGATTGAAATAACGATTACATGTAGTGATTGTGTTGAGGGACAAAACGTTACTAAAGGGTGGAAAGGGATGTGATGTCTCTATATTCGGTGTGACTGTCTGTATGTGAGTGATACAGTCGACATCTGGTCGACAATTCCCCGACCGCGAAGACCAGCGTCTATACGGCGCGGACGAATCGGGTGAACGTTTGACAACTTGTACGGCCAAATGGACAGTCTATGAACGCGTGAAACGAATCCATCCGCTGATGGATTGATGGGCGGCGTTGAGAATCGGTTCATAATACGATGGCTTCGGTGTTGTCGTGATTGATGGCGATATGTGACACGATATGATGACGTGAACGACATGTCGTTACGTCTACTATCGGGAGTCACACGTGAATGGTGTGACGCTTTCTGATGCGTCGTCTGTATTATACGATTTCTTGTATATGAATACGAATGTTGTCGTCGACTGCGTGTGTTATTCATATACAACGTATATATCGGTGGTGATAGCGAAACGATATTTGTTACGACGTTTACATCGTTGTCTACGTCTTGAGAGGTGGTGTCGATGATTTCTCGTCCAATAGTGATAGTGTCTGTCGCCCGATGGATGTCAAGGACAGTCGGTGTCACAATAGGACGATATGTTTCGGTTAATGGTGTCGACTGAATCGCTTGTAAGTCTTCAGTGATAGCGATATCCTTATCGATGTGTGAATCGATTTGTGATACGATTTGAACGCGAATCGTGATGTCTTTGTTCGTTGAGCTGTCCGATGACCAGCTTTCGGTGATAGTGTCTGTTGGTTGACCGGCGTCGCCGTCAGTGTGGTATTGAAGAGCCGAAGCGATGAGACGCTCCTTTTCGATGGCTCCGATGGTGAGTAACGTGAATATGCGATGCCACTCCTTTGTTGAGTCTTTGGCCGCATAAGGAATCGATGCCGTGGATGGTATGCGTTTGAGTGTCATGTCGTTATTACGAGCTACCAAATTGTGCGGTAAAACTGGACCGTCGGTTGTGCGAAACCGTGAGACCCGTGCGGCGACGGTCTCATTGTGGTGGCCGCTTACGTCTTCGTCCGCGCTGTCTTCGGTGTTTGTCGTATTGATAACGTTGCGGTTGACACGTTTGCTACGAAGTGAGGCCCGTATGCGCTCAGCACGTGTTGGGCACCTCGTACTGTATCTGTACGGCATTTTGGACGATTCAAGGTTTTTGTCGATGAAATCAACTACAGTTATGCGTTATCCTACCGACTGCGCCAATAATGTCAGCCAAGAGGCCGACAATTAGATGATATGATGGTTTGATTGAAATAACGATTACATGTAGTGATTGTGTTGAGGGACAAAACGTTACTAAAGGGTGGAAAGGGATGTGATGTCTCTATATTCGGTGTGACTGTCTGTATGTGAGTGATACAGTCGACATCTGGTCGACAATAATAATAAATTGATTTACAAAAACAATTGTTTTATTATAAAAAAAAACTTGAGATAGTTTTCAATGATTGCTTACCACACACAAACACACACACACACACACACACACACATACATAGACACACACACACACACACACACACACACACATACACATACATAGACACACACACACACACACACACACACACACACACACATAGACACACACACACACACACACACACATACATAGACACACACACACACACACACACACACACACACACACACACACACAATAGGTCAATGATTTGTGAAAAAATTGATGACACAATTATTTTTTTGTTGATAAAATTGATATCTTTATATTTTCGGTAGATTTTATTATACAATTGAATAAAAAAACTTAATGATATATGTCACAAATAATATACTGATAGAAATTATTGTATTATTATTATTATATATTAAATATTACAAATGTAATTTCAAATTTGTCAATTTTATTGACTTATCATGAAATAAGATTTGTTTGACAACATTATATTGATTGTTATATACAATATATGCAATATATATATATTGTATACAATTGTCATATAGAAATTTAAAATAGCAAAATAATAAAAAATAATAATATATTATTTGAGTTGTAGATTACAATTCATGAACTATGAAATTAATTTTAGATATTGATTTATGAAATAATATTAAATTGAATTCATATGTTTTATCACTGGTTTTTTTATAGGAAATGTTAGCCAACGGATGTGAAATTATTATTATTATTATATAATATGAAGACAACGAAAAATCATGCAATTTTGTCATCAAATTATTGTGTGAACACATGTATGTGTGTGCGATATAACTGTAATTAGTTTGCGATATCACTGCTTATATTTAAATATTTGTTAAGTTTATTATTAATATATCATTACAAAGGTGTTGGCAAATTGTAGCATATATTTTGTTAGTCTTATGTTAAAGATTTTTATTGTATGGTAGTATTAAATATAAATTTAATGAATAATTTATCATATATTGTATATAAAATATTAGATTTGCTAGAATACATAATATTTAAGTTTAAAAACATTACTTATTTGAATTATTTTTTTATGTTAAATAAGTTCCTATGATTAAGTATAACTTAATATAATTTTTAATTAAACTAATAGTTTCTATTTTTTAATTGTTATTTTAATCAATTTAAATTTTGCTATTACTACTGTATAATTAAATATTGTTAATGTCTATGAGGTTTTTAAATATTTATTTTAGGCAAACTTACATAAAAATTATTAAATATTATTTGTTAAATATAATAAAAACTCAAATATAATATTTTAAAAAATATTTTAAGTTAATATAAATTTAATTATTTATACAATGTATCATATATATATTTTAATTAATTAATAATATTTTATAGTTTAGTTTTAATCAAACATTGTTTTTTATAATACTTAATGTTATTTATCACAAAAAAATAAAACAAATATTTAACAAAAATCAATTATTATTATTATATTAGAAAAATAAAAATAATAAGTAAATTACTTGTCTAGTTATGATAGTTTTCAAAAATTATCAAATAATAACCTTGGTGAATTGTATATAATCACACATCATTTCTATGACATCTTAAATACGATTATAATTATTGTTAGTCAACCGTGATATGATAAGCATTATTGTTAGTATTATTATTATTATTATTATAGACAGTATTATCTAAATAATAATTAGTTACTAATTAAGAAAATGATAATTTTTTATTAAATTAATTAATTTTTTAACAATTATAATTTTTAGCGTAATGCTAATGAACTAGCTCATTTGAAAAAAATAATTTTAATTAGCAATCAACAAAATGTGTGTCAATATTAATTTTACCAAAATTAATTTATAACTTTATAAAAAATTCTGCTAAATTATTAATGTATTTTTTTGTAACAATAATTCAATCTATTATATTTTCAAAAATTTAATAAATTTGAATAAGCCTGTTAAACATTAGATTAATAAACAGTATGTATATATCTATTTGAATATATAATTATTTCATTCAAATTACTGAAAAAATACAAGTTTTAAATATAATAATTAAAATCTGATTTAAAGTTGATTTCTAAATAACTATACAATGAATAATAAAATGAAGTCAAGTAAAGCCCATATTATGATTATTACAATTATATTTTGTAATAATAATAATAATAATATTTAGATACACCTCTTGTTCTCAATTACTGTAGATTCTGCCTAATTGTGTGCAACATATTGCTATCATTTTAAGTTATTATTATTATCTTTATATACTTAGTTATTAAGTTATGATAACTTGAATTATCTGTATTAATAAAAATTCAAATTAAAATCTATATAATTTTGATAAGTGGAAAAATAAAGTATTTTTAACATCGGGTTGTAATAAAATTACAACTTTTAATATACAGTATTTTAAATAAATTTTGAAACTTTAACAAACATTACTGTATTATTATTGAAAAGCAAAACAATCGATTAATTGTAATTAAAATTTTAAAAAACATCATGTTTTCCCAATTTGACCTCATTTAATCAACTATCCATTAGTTATTATTATTTGATATACCTTTTTATATATAAATTTATATACTGTTAGTAATATTTTATTAGTATCATATAATCAAAATAATTCAAATATAATATCTATTAAAAACAATTCAACCATAAAACGCAAACATTGAGAGATACCTTAAAAAAGAGTCAACTAAAATATAGAGTAATAATAGTATAGTTTAATACAGGTATATATATATATACAGCAAATTATATATATATATAATATAATCAAATTGAACTATAACTATACATAGGTATAATGTACATATGTTTAACTAAATTACATACAAAAATAGTTGTTTAAATTATTTATAAAAGTGGCAGTCATTGCATATTGTATGTTACTATAGTACTATACACGTAGACCCTGTTGTTAAGTTATATTATTATCTAAAAAACACATAATGTGTGTTTGATTAGTGATAAAACATTGTAGAGTATGTGTTGTTAGCATTTGAAAAGTATCCAAAATGTAATGTTTTTAGTATTGTTTCTCAATTAGATTTGGCATTGCATTGGAAAAGTGCTATTCAATTGAGTTGTTGTGTTGTGTTGTGCGCTGTCTTTAAGTATAGTATAGTATGTTATGTTTCATCTCATTTAAGGGCTTGTGTTATGTGTTATGCGTTAAGCCATTGGAAACAGTGTTTCACTTTTGCATTGAGAGGCAACTCATGAGGACTAGTAGTACAACAACAACAACAACAACAGTGCTGTAAACCAATTATTATAGTAAACATTGTATGTGTTGTTTAACTTAATCATCAAAAAATATCATTTTATTTAAAAAATATTAATTTTATCATCATTTGGTTTGACTATACATATAATGATTTAATTGTTTATATACTTATAAATAATTTTTTACTCTAAAAATTCATTTGAATTGCAAATAATATATCATATGTTTTAGTGAATGTAATATCCATTTGAATGAAATGTTTCGCGCAAAACATTTCAATGTTTTTTAATTTATTATATAAACAATGCATTTATTTATTTATTGACTTTTAAGTTTTAATATTTATTGTAAAATAATATTTTATTAATATTTATTTAAATAAATAAAAATTATATATAAATTTTACGTCAAAAATATTTTACACATACACTTAATAATATTTATAATAATTGATTAAATTTTAACATTTGATTGACATTTGTTTAATGTGATTATAATATATAGTATTTATTTTTATTATTTATTATATATAAATTAATATAATTATAACAAATGGTGATAACAACTTTGTATTTGAAGACAATTAATGGTTATTTAAAATTAATATATAATATTAATATCTATGAACTGATACCACATAAACACATATAACAAGATAATGGGATAGATTTGGTTTGTATTGATTGATTGAAAACATTATTATTATTATTATTAATATCAATATTTAATTATTAATTGATAAATTAAATTAATCATTTAAATTGATTTAGCATTTAATATAATAATAATAATATGAATCAAATGATTGTCTCCGATTAAGACATCTGAAGACTATATTTTTTGAGGAATCAATGCCTCGATTAATGGCAAAAAAAGGAAGACTTCGGCTCTTCCTTTGCTTTTTAGTGCCGATTATTGTCTTAATATTTCTTATAATATATACGACTAATGATCTAAAAATTAATGATTTCGTACCAAACTATTATCGATTAGATGATAATAACGATAATCGCTTGAATGGTAAAGATAGTGATAGTGTCATCAATGATATCAACAACAATGATGATGACAATCATAATAGCGATACTAATGATCATAATTTTGACAATGAAAGACATTATGACAAGAATATCGTAACGTTTGCCAAACCCATTACTCATGAGGAGGACTTGTTATCAAATGATATACATAATGGCAAATGTTTGCCATTTGCATCTAATTTGTCGGTCGATATCAACACTATTGATGGTTACAAAGATCTCGAATTTAATCCCAAGTTTAAGAGTTATTGGAACTATACTTTTGAGCGAAAATATGAACAAACAAGAGATAATTGGCACGAATTGCCACTAAAGGTATGGCCTTTAAGATACCTTTTTTTTTGTTGATTCAGTCTTTCAATGTTATTATAATATCTTTCAAAGAAAATTAACTTTTTAAACCATATTTGACATTATAGTTAAAAATTATTGATTTTATTACTGTACTATTATTATATATATAATATAGATTTATATATTTTTTAAATAGTATTATTCATTGATGATTAATTTGATAGCATTGACAGTACTAATTTTTTTATTAGCTATATTGTTAATTATTTTTTACCCCCTGTAAGCAGCAAACATTTTTTTTGCTAATAAACAGTTTAATGCTGTTTTAAAAATATATAATACAGTACTTATCACATATAAAAATGCTTTAATTATATTTTTAATCAAATCAATTTTAATTTAATTAAAGTGTATATGTATATACTGTATATACTGTATATTTGATAATTTTAGTTTTTTTTGTTATAAACTACAAAAATGTGTGTTTTATTTGAATGTTTGAATGAGAATATTCTTTTTTTAAAAACCTAATTAATATTTATTTTTTAAAAATTTGATGTCATATTTCATGGGAGAGATGTTAAAAAAAAAATTATTATTACTATTAAATTATTAGGTAATCAGGCTTTTGACTATAAAATATAATCTAATTGTAATTCATTATTATTATCAATGATATACAGTATATGATAGTATATATATTATATACAGTATATTATATACGGGATATTAAGTAGTTAAACAAAAAAATAAAAATAAATTTCTCATAAGAATTAAGATAAGTATTTTCCCATTTAATCTAAATACGAGCAAAAAAAGTAAAAATTTAAAGTTTTTTATTTACTTATTTTTCAAAATATGTCTTTTAGTTGTCTAAATATATGGTTTGGCACAAAGTTTATGAATTATTATTATCATACAAAACATTAATGCATTGTTTTTAAGTATTGGTTTGTTTTTGGACTAATAATGTCTAAACATTTTTTTTAATGATATATAATATAATACAATAAAATGATATAAATGTGCAAAAATACAGGTAAACGAACCCTTGTTTTTTGCAGTCAAGTGTGTTATATTCAATAGCACTGGATGTTTATATAACTACAGTCCTAACACACTTTACCTGTAAATTACTGTATAAACCATTACAACATTGCATTTTAACCTAACTATTTTACGGTAGTTTTTTAGTCAATTGACAATATACTGTAATGTTTTTGTTTAATATCATCCAATAGTTTAGATGTTAAATAATAAATGAGATAAAAAACTGTTCATTCAATCAATTGATTGATTTCCTGATACGATGACCGCTAACATTGATTGTTAAAAAAACACAAAACAATTGATTTACTGTTTTCTCAAAATATTTTCTGAGGATTTTATTTCTAAAAGAAAACAATTTATTAGTTTTTTTCTCTCTCTGATGATGACCTCAACAAACTAACCAAAAGTTGATAACTTCTTTAGGTATAACTTTTTTTTGGGGGGGGGGAGGTATTAAATATATTTTAAAATTATTATTATTACAATCAATTTATTTTGTGTGTGCCTGTTATTTATTTTTTTAAATACACTATTTAAAACAAATTTATAAATATATTTTGAGATATAAATCGATTTATTTATTTTATATGTTATGAAAAAATCGTGTTTTCTATGATTTCACGTTTTTTACCCCAAAAAATCTTTGATTACTTATTTTAATAATACTCTAATGATAATAATAATAATAATAATAATAATAATAATAATAATTTTTGTGGGCTTTTATTATAAAGTATCAAAACAATTATATTTATGGAAAACAACTGGTTTTGAATAACAATAACATTATTAAAGTCAAAATTATTATTGTTTATATAATATATGAATGTTTGTTAAAATATTGTATTGTATTTTTATATATACAAAAATATTATTATAAATATGTCATTAATATGAGAATTTTGGTTATGTTATGGTCAGTGAATATAAATTTATTATTGTTTTGAAAAAATAAATTTTTCATTTATTTTATTTGATTTTCTATTGTGTTATTTATATTTTATAAATATAATTATCTTTTTATTGACTAAGCTAGTCTTATATATATCCTAAACATTAAATATTTAGTGATTTTTAAAAAAATGTGATTAATAAATAAAAACTTAAATAAATTTATATAATGTAGTATTTAATTATTTATATACTGTAGGTTTTTAAATTTTTTATATGTATATTGATTAACTTCATGGCTCTATTGTATTTACAATTTGTTATTTTTGTTGTTGTAGTTAACAGATATTTTCCAAGGATTTTTTACTAATAAGGTTTAAGATTTATTATATAATATTAAATATAATGTATACTAACTAATAGTAACTTATTATAAACAAGTTTTTATGATATATAATATATATATTCTATAATATATCATATAATATATTTTTTGCATATATCGTATTTTAAAAGATTACATTTGTAGTTTTTTTATTATTTTATTTATTATTTAATAGTATTATTATACCGGGTACTATTATATACAAGTATATACAAATTTGTATAAATTTCCTACAATTATTTTATATATGGATATATAATCATTTAATATAAATATTGTTTTTTTATTTGAATAATATTATAATATTTAATAATTATTGTTCGTTTATAGTTTGTAATATTTTTCAATAAAGCTATTATGTAAAATTAAATATTTAAATTATATTTAGTTTTTTTTTATAAAATATAATTTTAATTGATTTTTAAACGTTATTTTATATAATTATATATTTTGTTTTTTCAACAAACAAATAATGGTTAGCTTTTATATCCATTGTTTAAAAAACTTATTTTAATGGAAAAGTTTAAAGTCTATCAAATAAAACTTGAAATATTATTTTGTTAATAATAATAAATATTCAGTAAATTAGATATTTTCTAAAACATAATTTCTAATATTTCTTTAACATTAACAATTTTGTTTAAATATACAGTAAATGTAAATATTTATAGTTATAATCTAAACAAAGTTAAAGTTATCAATATAATGTTTATACTGTATTTTATTACAGTATTATGTTTTGTATTTGATATATATTTAATAATATAATTATGATATCACAAACTAAGCATTTTTTTATAACCCGAACCGTTTATTTAAATTAAGTAAAACCGTAAAACTATTTATTACCTGTTTATCCAAACCGAGCCGTATATATATATATATATGATTTAATATTCTAATATTATTTATAACAATTAAAAACAGTTACTTTAATGACTAACAAATTATAATAACATTTGCAGTGAAAATAAACAATTTATAATAATTATAATTAAATAAATAAATGCATCAATAGAGATATATATTATTATTTGTAGTTAATACGATTTGTTTGATCAACTTTTTACCCATTTATATAATACCTTAAAATACTTAATACATTAGTTTTATTAGCTGAATATTTAGTTAATTGATAATTATAATAATTATTATTTGATCAATTAATTAGTAATAAATAATTTTTAATTTATTAAACACTATTATGTTTTATTAATAACATCACTTAAGAGGAAATTAGATTTATATTTCTACTATATTTTATTATTTATTATTCTAATTATACTAAATTTATTTATATTATATTAATTTTAACTTTCATTTAAGTTGAAAATTATTACTTTTAATAATTAAAATTATTGTTTGAAGTCAATCGAAATTGAAAATATAAAATATTATAGTTTAATAAGTTTAATACTAAATGATTGTTATGAATTTTTTTAGAAATTTGTTTTTAATAATACGATAAATAAATATATACAGGTATATTACAAGTAAATACTAACAATATTTTGTGTTTTTTAACTATACTATTTATATTTTACAATACCATACAATAAATATATATAATTATAAACAAAAAAATAAATTTGATCGCAATTAACATTTGCAGACAATTATACAGTATATTGTTTATTATAACAAATAAAATATTTTTATAGAAAATAATATATTAAATATTGTTATCAATTAAATGCTTGACTCCTAATGATGTGACCTAAAGTTGTTGGTGTCATATAAATGGGACGGAACTGACAATTACAGGTAGTTTTTTTGAATCCAAATACAAATAAAACTTATCTGTTTTAGAGGTCATATACAATATTATTATTAATACAAACTTATTGGGTGTGAAAACCATTGAGCGATTGTGTGGTGCGGACTCACGCTGACTATTATATAACAATTGCTATAATAATAATAATGTTTTATACTGTATTTTTTCATATATAATTAGGCAAAAGAGCATAGTTTGCGGAAATTGAAATATTGTTTGTTTGTTTAGTTTACTTTTAAAACTTTTTTGTTTAGATTTCTGAAAGATTGCCCTAAGGATATAACTGCTTAAATATTTGCATAATATATAAAAAATAACAATTTAATTATTAATATTATGTATTATTATTTTTTTAAATCTCTCTAAAAGCATAACTCTTTTCTTTTAAAATACAAATAAACATAAATCATTTACATTGTATTAATTTATATTAAAATAATTAATAATTATTATAGTTAAAGTACAGTTTTGATTAGTTGTATGATTATTAATTTTAGTGGTTAGTACTTACAATAATTGTTAGTAATATTATACATAGTATTAATTAATTATTATAATTTGAAATGATATTTTATATTTCAGGTGATAATATTGCCGCACTCTCACAATGACCCGGGTTGGCTGAAAACATTTGAACAATATTACTATGACTATACAGCACTTATACTCAATAATATGGTCGATAAGTTAACCCGATATCACAATATGACTTTCATATGGGCTGAGATGTCATTTATGTCCCGTTGGTGGGAAAGGTAGTTGTATTTTATTATGTTATTTATTTAATCTAATGTTTTTTATATATCATATATTTTTGTTAGTCTTAAAAATCGGCCCCAAATGCGAGAGTCAGTTAAATATCTGATTAAAAGCGGTCAGCTTGAGATTGTGACCGGCGGATGGGTTATGACCGATGAAGGACCGGCACATTACTGGGATATGATTGATCAGCTAATAGAAGGACATCAATTCCTGAGGACAAGCATTGGTTTGACTGAATCACCCATTAATGGGTGGTCTATCGATCCGTTTGGTCACGGAATGACTTTTCCGTATATATTAAAAAAGTCGGGCATTAATAATACGTTAATTGAGAGGACACACTTCGGATGGAAAACTCATTTTGCGGCCAAACAACAGTTGGAGTTCATATGGAAACAGGTTTTCGATACAAGCAGTTCATGGGATCTGTTCTGTCAAATGTCTGCCTTTGATTTGTACTCAATTAAGTTCACGTGTGGACCCAATACCGATATTTGTCTTCAATTTGATTTTCGACGAATTGCTGGCGAATCCTCTGAGTCGACATCCGTAAAGATTACTGAAGACAATGTTGAAGAACGAGCAAATCTAATGGTCAGTCAATACGGCCGATTGGCCTCACTTTTCCCGCACAACATAGCACTGGTGCCGTTGGGTGACGACTTTCGGTTCAACTACGACACTGAATGGGATCAACAATACGATAATTATAATAAACTAATGCAATATATTAGATCTAATCCATTACTTTATAATAAAACTGAGATTAAGTTCGGAACACTTAACGACTATTTCCAAGAAGTTCATCAAAGAATGGAAAAAATGAATGAAAACAAATTTCCGACACTTTATGGAGATTTTATGCCATACGCCGACGTCTACGTTGACGGTAAACCTCACTATTGGTCCGGTTATTACACTACTCGTCCCTATTGGAAGTCATTGTCCCGTCAATTACAACATCTATTAAGAAGTGCCGAAATATTATATTCGTTGACTCGAAACCAGATCCGTCAAAGTGGTAGTAATCAGCAAATGTTAGACCGTTTGGACAAAGATTACGAATACTTATCGACAGTCCGACAAAACTTAGCTCTTTTCCAACATCACGACGCAATCACCGGTACCTCTAAAGAGCACGTTATGGAAGATTACGGAAAGAAATTGAATATTGCTATCAGTTTAGTGTTGGGTGTTATCTCACATTCAGTACAATTCATTTTAGCCAAAGACAATACTGTATTACCAACAGATATGAATGCCGCCCACCCTATGACGGCTTACCTGTTTCCAGATATTGAGCGAACCTCTTGGGATCAGTTGTCCCAAAAGTCGGTGTTATTTGTGCCGCCGGTCGACGGCAGGAAACTAGTGGTCTTTAATTCGCATCTTCAGACGCGAATTGAAGTGATCCGAGTTTATGTACGGACACCATCTGTCAGAGTAATTGATGGCCAAAACGGCAATGAAATACAATCGCAAATAAATCCGATTTTCAATTCAACCGCCGGAATAGCGACCAATGGATATGAATTGCAATTTATAGTTTCACTTTCGCCACTATCGTTGACCACATTTGTCATACAGACATTTGAACGAAGACATCGATCACATCATCTGCCAAAAGTCTCATTGTTTTTGAGCGATGCCGACGAAGACGAAGATCTTCATAAATCTGATGGTAACGTAATTCATCCGAAAGTATTTAAATTTGACACTCCTATGGACAACAAGGAGTTTGAATTGGAAACACCGTATATTAAGGTACGGTTCGATAGGCGAACCGGTTTTATAACCCATATTATCGATAAAAAGAGCAATTTTGTCCAAAAAGTACATTTATCATTGAGAGCCTACAAATCGGCTGAATATAACAGCGGCGCCTATCTGTTCAAACCATCACAGTTTGATCCCATTCACAATATCACTGAACGGTTTCCTATTATGCGACTCATTAGAGGAGATGTTAGCTCTGAATTGACTGTCATTTATCCTAATTTTATTGAAGTAAACTTTAAAGTGTATAACACTTATAGTTCAATTGCAAGTGCTGTACAAATGTACTGTAAGTTTGATCTATCAAAACGTGAAGATCTAATGGATTGGGAACTGATTATGAGAGTCGAAACTGATATCAACACAATTGATTCAAGAGATGGTCGCAAACGGTTTTATGTCGATTCAAATGGCTTTCAAATGATTGAAAGGAAATATGTGGACAGTTTGGGCATTGATGGCAATTACTATCCCATGACCTCAAGCATGTATATTGAGGACAATAACTCCCGACTAACACTCTTGGCCTCACATTCTCACGGAGTGTCCAGTCCTTTGAATGGAACAATTGAAGTGATGTTAGAAAGAAAATTACGATTTGATGACAACAGAGGCGTTGGCGAAGGTGTTGCTGACAATAAGCTAACGATTTCGCGATTTTGGATCGCAATCGAGCGCACAGACACTGATTACGGTTCCGATAACCAGCCAATTGTTCCCAATTTATCGCAACTAATGTACTCTTTATTATCGACACTTCTGTACGAACCGATTGTCTTGGCTTCAGATGGACAGCACAATCGGCCGACACATTCAACGATGAAGTTTCTAAGCGAATCGTTTGATTGCAATCTATTTCTAGTCAATTTGCGAACCCTTCCCGAAGCCGATAACTTTGAATTGCCGTCACAATCAAGTCTACTACTACTTCACAACAGAGGCAACACTTGTCGTATCCGACAACAGATAACACCGAAATCAATGTTATGTTTAAACTCTAAGAATCGGCCAAAAAGTTTTGCAAATCTAAGAATACAATCGATTAATGAGTGTTCACTTACGGCATTCAAAACACTTAAACCGGTGACTGATTTAAGTACTATAGATATACCCGAAATGCAAATCAATGCATACGATATTAAATTTGTCAAATAGAGGGGTATTATTATTAACAAAAAAACAAACTAACTAACAGTTATTTTTGAAATATTATTATTATTATTATTTAAATATTTATCAATTATTGTAGTAACGGTATGTGATATATTAAGCCTCCATTAATACATATTCTGAATGTGGGATAAAAAACCAAATGTTTCGGAATTAATTAATTAATGGTTTCATTCAATTGAACAATAAATTACTGAAAACCATAGTTTATATATTATATTATATATATATATATATATAATATAATATATAAATTTCTATATATATATATATATATAATTTCTAATAGATTGTTGAAAATTACAGTATTATTATTAAGCTATCAATTATATTAAGTTTTATTAATATAATTGTTTTTGGCATTAAATATGTCATTTTTGTGGTTCATATCTATTGATGGCAACTAACACACGTGTTAAGGGATCAACACATCCGTCTAAATGTTATGTATTTAAAAAAAAGACTATTAACTAATCAAATGTTAAGTACAATATAATACCAAATGATATATTTGATAGTAATTGAGTTGAATTCAATTGTCTATCTAATCATACAATCATTAACAATAAACTATACAATCATTCATTAATTCATATGATTTATTAATTTTATTAATACTGTATAATAATAATAAAATTTATTTTATTAATCAATTTTATCAATTGTTTTAACTTGTAGTTGAAAAAATTTTTAGCAAATTTATTTAATATTGAATAAAGATATTGTTTAAAATAAACATATTTATTGTTATTATTATTACTTAAAATTAAATTTATTTAAACAGTTATAAGAACTTTAATACACATAACAACTACAACAAGAATCTGATGAATATATTGCAAGACTTGAGAACAAAGAACCGATTTATTACAAACAAGTGTTGAAAACAAAACAAAAATATATTAAATCAATAAATTGGTGAAAATTATTAGTTATAAAAGTATATAATTATAATTTGATTTTTAGTATTTAAATTTGATTTCAGTTTAATTTAATAATTTCATGTCAGCATATATATTATAGTTGGGATATATTTAATATAAAATATCAATATATATATAATTTGCTATTTTAAAAAATAATACATATTTAATAATTAATATTATATATTGTACTTAACTTATAAACTCTAAAGATTAAGAACTATCTCTACATTATTATTATTTAATAATATAATAATATTTAATTATATTTAATAGTATCGATAATCCAATTAACAAATCGTGATATTCTGATAAAATCCATTTTATTGATTGTGTTATAATCTATACAATCAGTTTCAATCATATTTTCAAACGCTGTCAGACCTCTGACTAAACCAATAAGTACGGCACGACTCCCGACATACTGAACGAGTGGTCCACCAGAATCACCCTATAATACAATATATTGCCGATAATAATAATAATAATAATAATAATTTATAGTAATTACAGTATTTTAGTTATTATTATAATTTACATATAATGTTTATAGTATGTTATAGTATGTTAACAATTAGATGAATAGAGTATATATAATATTTATATTTATAATATTTGCCGCACACGTAGCAGCACCTGAATTGATAGGATATCTGTGAGCAATGATTCTATCAGACCATAGATCCAAACTATTATTAAAAGGTTTGTCAATTATTATCCAACCCATTATCAGTGGTCCATAATTGGCAATACCGTAATCAATATAACCAAAACCAGCAGTTAATGCCAACTCTTCATCTGTATTAACAATGTCTGTGTCGGGCAAACAAATGCCATTTGTCTGCGCTATATATCGACAACTTTTGTTGGTTTGTATCGGTAAATGTGAATCTAATTTAAGTAATGTAATGTCATATCTGGCGTCAATTTCATCAAATGTATTATAATTGTAGTGAACAATCCGTTTGTATACACCATATGATGTCCTAAATGACTCTAAATGTCTCAAATCGTAAATCGTGTGCACAGTTGTAATGTATTCAAAACTGGAGTTTTTAATTGTAGTTATATTTTTTGATAAAAAACAATTAATTAAATTAACATCTCTATGATTATGACTAATTTAATTCAAGTAAATAACTTTATAAATATTATATATAGTATTATTTACGAATAATTAGAGTTTAATCTTAGAGTTATCTGACTAACTATTTTAATTGTATAATACAATGATTGTATTACAAAATTAAAATATTTAGTCAAATTGTATTACAATCTATGTTTTATTCGACTAAACGAAAAGTTTTAATAGTATTATAAAATTATTTAGAAAATTAAAAATAATAAATCAAACATAAATTTATTATATTTGATTGATTAATACTGTATTGGAAATCATATATTATTTATAAATAAATTCTATTTGAAAATATATTATGTATTTTCTATTAGCACTCATCAAAAAATTATACAATCCGTACATTTAATAAAATTTATAATATTATTAAATAATAATAATAAATAAATATTGGCAATTTATTTGAGCTTGATCAAATTTTATTATAGCACTTGATGTATGCTTTGTAATGGATTTTTATTTAAATTTTTTTTTATTTAATACTTATTCTCATAACAAATGGTATGTAAAGTGATATACAATACTTACTGAACACAATGTGCAACAGTTAATATCCAATTGTTGTTTAGTATAACACCAGAGCATCGGGATCTAAATATTTCAATATTTTAAATCAATTTATTATTATTATATTAAATATTGTTTGCAAAATATTTTTAAATAATAAATTTATAATTTTTTCAATAAATCAAAATTACTTAATAATTGGTATAAATCCTAAATAATATTTCTTTCCCACAATATATACAATCCATGGCCACTCTCCCGGTTGAGCTAACCGTCCGTTTTGTACACTTGTAGTCACATTTGATGACCACTTGAAACAGTTTTTTGTAGTCAACAGTGACTGCCGTCCGATACCACACGTGTCGAGCGTTACGTTCGGATAGTGTTTGATCTGTGAGTGAATGCAAACACTGAACGACACCAATACTGATGACAACAATACTATTATTACTACAAAAAATAATTATAAATATATTTTATTTAAATAATAAAAATGTTTTCAAATAATTTTATTTGACTTAAAGTTAAGTAAATAAATATACAAACATAAAGTTAACATTTCATGTATTTTGTGATTTTTTTTAAAAGTATTAATAACTTAATATAGTCTGCAATATAATGAACAGTATATTAATTTTTCGGAAACATTTATATCATTTGTTTAAATATATATCTTTTAGTTAGTATTTATACAAAATATATATTAATATATTAAATTTCTATTAAATCTTATGATTGTTATAATATATTAAATTACAAAAAAACAATACAATTTATTATCAAATTTTATAAAACAGTATTAAATACTAAAATAAAAAATATATTTTTTTGTACAAATTATTGATTAGAAATTATTAATATTTTTAATTAGTTAACTAAGAAATGTAATTTGATATTTTATGTTTTTTTTATAAATAGTATAATATTTTATAAATAATAATGTTTTAATACAATTTTATATAATTTTACAAAAAAACTATTATTAAATAAAATATAATTGATTGTTAATTAATAAAATATTTAATGAAAAATCTTATGTATATAATTCAAGTATTAATGTGTAAGTTTGCATAATCTATGCAATAACGAAATGTCTATATTATAATTAATTATAAATATCATAAATATTTTAATTGATTCATAGTATTGATAGTATGTCTAAACTGTTTGCCTATTGAAGGCATACATTCATCCATCAAATACTATCCCAATGTAACACTCATTGACTGTGGTATCGGTCGGGAGTCAAACATTATGAACGACCAGTGCTTTAGATTTCATACGAGTTATGATATGACCGGAAATATCATAAGAATTATCAAAAGGAAAGATCTCGAATCATATATGACATGAGTTGAACGTATGTTAGAGTATTCGAATATCAAACCCGAAGCCGAACTTAAATGGTCGGGCGATAAGAAACCATCGACCGATTGGTCACAGAGTGGACAAATTGTTTTCAAAGATATGAGTTTCTATATAACGAATCGCCGAAACCGGTTCTCAAGAATATTAACGTTTGTTTTAAAGGCGACGAAAAAAATACGAGTCGTTGGCCGAACTGGAGCCGGAAAGTCATAGGAAATGTTTTTTATGAATGAACCGACCGGTCAGATACTCATCGATGATATCGATATAATAACTATTGGTTTTCATGACTTGAGGAGAAAGATATCAATTATACCTCAAGAAACAGTTCTGTTCACTGGATCGGTTCGTAAGAATTTGGATCCATTTGAAGATCACAACGACGATGAAATGTATGAAGCATTGGATGAAATACAACTGAAAGAACATGTAATGCAATAGTAATAAATGTCAGATCTGAATAAATGTCAGATCTGAATAAATATCAGATCTGAATTGGGTGTCAGATATGAATTGGGTGTCAGATCTGAATTGGGTGTCAGATGTGACTGCGGAGTCAGATATGAATTAGATGTCAGATCTGAATTGAGTGTCAGATCTGAATTGGGTGTCAGATCTGAATTGGGTGTCAGATCTGAATTGGGTGTCAGATGTGACTGCGGTGTCAGATCTGAATTGGGTGTCAGATGTGACTGCGGTGTCAGATCTGAATTGGGTGTCAGATCTGAATTGGGTGTCAGATGTGAATTGGGTGTCAGATGTGACTGCGGTGTCAGATCTGAATTGGGTGTCAGATCTGAATTGGGTGTCAGATTTGAATTGGGTGTCAGATGTGAATTGGGTGTCAGATGTGACTGCGGTGTCAGATCTGAATTGGGTGTCAGATGTGACTGCGGTGTCAGATGTGACTGCGGTGTCAGATCTGAATTGGGTGTCAGATGTGACTGCGGTGTCAGATCTGAATTGGGTGTCAGATCTGAATTGGGTGTCAGATCTGAATTGGGTGTCAGATGTGAATTGGGTGTCAGATGTGACTGCGGTGTCAGATCTGAATTCGGTGTCAGATCTGAATTGGGTGTCAGATTTGAATTGGGTGTCAGATGTAAATTGGGTGTCAGATGTGAATTGGGTGTCAGATGTGACTGCGGTGTCAGATCTGAATTGGGTGTCAGATCTGAATTGGGTGTCAGATGTGACTGCGGTGTCAGATGTGAATTGGGTGTCAGATGTGACTGCGGTGTCAGATCTGAATTGGATGTCAGATCTGAATTGGGTGTCAGATGTGACTGCGGTGTCAGATCTGAATTGGGTGTCAGATCTGAATTCGGTGTCAGATGTGAATTGGGTGTCAGATCTGAATTGGGTGTCAGATGTGAATTGGGTGTCAGATGTGACTGCGGTGTCAGATCTGAATTGGGTGTCAGATGTGACTGCGGTGTCAGATCTGAATTGGGTGTCAGATGTGAATTGGGTGTCAGATGTGACTGCGGTGTCAGATCTGAATTGGGTGTCAGATCTGAATTGGGTGTCAGATGTGACTGCGGTGTCAGATCTGAATTGGGTGTCAGATCTGAATTTGGTGTCAGATCTGAATTGGGTGTCAGATGTGACTGCGGTGTCAGATCTGAATTGGGTGTCAGATGTGACTGCGGTGTCAGATCTGAATTGGGTGTCAGATCTGAATTGGGTGTCAGATGTGAATTGGGTGTCAGATGTGAATTGGGTGTCAGATGTGACTGCGGTGTCAGATCTGAATTCGGTGTCAGATCTGAATTGGGTGTCAGATGTGACTGCGGTGTCAGATCTGAATTGGGTGTCAGATCTGAATTGGGTGTCAGATGTGAATTGGGTGTCAGATGTGACTGCGGTGTCAGATCTGAATTTAGGTTAGGTTAGGTTAGGTTAGGTTAGGTTAGGTTAGGTTAGGTTAGGTTAGGTTAGGTTAGGTTAGGCTAGGTTAGGTTAGGTTAGGTTAGGTTAGGTTAGGTTAGGTTAGGTTAGGTTAGGTTAGGTTAGGTTAGGTTAGGTTAGGTTAGGTTAGGTTAGGTTAGGTTTTTTTTTTTTTCCTTTGCATTAAAACGTTTATTCTTATTTTCGACACATATTACAATGTAATTATATAAATAATAATAATAGAATATAATAAATTTTTACAAGTTTTTTGTCTCGTACAGTCAATGTGATTCAATTACTTTGAACAAATAGATATTAATCACTGTGATTCGCAATCAATTATTTCCCTATTTTATGGAATCGTTAGTATTTTATAATTTCTTTGTAATTTATCCTCATATAATTGAGTTATTAACTATGTTCTCTTAATTTCTTCTTAGGGAATCACAGTGATTTCACATAATATACATCAATTATATACAATAAACTAGTAATAAAATACAACAAATTTTTTACAAGTTATTTGTTTCGTACAGTCAAAGTGATTTAATTACTTTGATCAAATAGATAATAATCACTGTGATTCTAAATCAACATGATTCCCATTTTGTGGGGTCATTTTGATTTTATGATTTCCTTATAATTTATCCTGTTTTAATGGAGTTATTAACTATATTTTTTTTTTTTTTTTTTTAATTTCTTTTTAAGGAATCACAGTGATTTGACATTTAGTTATATACTATTTAAAACAATACTTATTAAATAATCATCGTGATATACTTCACTATGATTTTACATGTCATATGAATTGTTTATATAATTTTATAATAACAAAAATAATTTAAATTTTTTATATATAAAATCCTTTAGAGAGTCATTGTGATTCTGTTTCAGATCTTTTTTCTAAGGAATCACAGTGATTTGACGTTATTATAATCATTTAATGATATACTATTTCTGATAATAACACTATGTCTGAACTTCGGAATCTCAACGACTCTTAATTACAACAACATTTAATTACAAGGACTTTTATAATTTTTCAATAAACTAATATGTATTAGTTAATAAGTTAACCCCAATAGTAAAAATGTTAATAATGGTAATAATTCTTAAATAATATGAAAATTATAAATGATTTGCGAATTAACGCTATATAAACAATAATACTGACAGAATAAAGATAATACAGGATTCGTTTCGATGCGTGTATGATATGTTGTCTGTTTACGTCACAGTGCAGTGGTGAGTCGTCGTGATTTCCTTTCTCAGTCCTTATCATTCGAGTTTTTCTCCATTTGTTATCCAAATATTTTATGATATTCATGTAATATACAATTGAAATAATAATGCATATCATAAATAAAGAAATTAATTAATTAATAATAATATTTAGAATAGTAAAACAATAATCATGTAGTTTTCACCACTACAAGTGATTTTGATTATTTTCATACAAGCGATTATTAATTTATTGACTTATGTTTTCTTAAGCTTTATACGTGACTTTATTTTCTTATGGCTTATTGATTTTATATGTCGAATAAAATATTGCCCCACAATGGTAAGTGGGGTCCAGTGAATTACATTAGTGGTTATATGATAATTCAAGATTGTTTATACAATCTTAATCTAATTCATTTAAGTTTTTCAAATTTTTAATTATAGTTTCATAAATTTTTGCAATTCTATTACAGATGTCTTTGTCTCCTATATTATTTCTGAGAAAATCAATTTTCATCTCATTTCCGCTTCCCATTGATTCGCCTAATATTTCCTTTACCAGAATGCACTCCTCAATCAAATGTTTAATTGTTTGAACTGCTTGACCATCACATGGGCATCTATCTGAATCTTTAAATTTAAACCGTTTTAGATATTTCATTGTGAAGGCATGACCTGATAACGCCTGTGACAGTTCGTAACTCATCGTGACTCTTTTATGTAGTTCAATACAATGATGTATTGTTGGTAAAAATAACTTTGTAGTACTTCCCGTGATAGCCTCTGTATATCTTTCGTTCCACTTCCTTATGGTTACATTTTTCAATTGATTCTTTATGAATCCAAGTGGGACTTGATCATAACTGACCTCCTCGTTTGGAAGCACAGCTGCCTCTTTCGCAAGACTATCGGCTATTTCATTGCCTCTTATACCTGAGTGGCCCTTTATCCATATGAATATTATAATCTTCCCGGCGACTTCTGCAATTTTTACCAAATCTTTGATTTCCTGGACCAATGCATTTGTATTGTTTCTCTGTGAGAGTGCATTAAACACTGATTGCGAATCAGACATTACTTTGAATCTCGTTGAATCCATTTCATTTACGATTCTTATTGATTCCCTCATTGCAATCAGTTCAGCTTGAAATACTGAACAGAAGTCGGCCAACTTTATCTTAACATCATGTCCGTATTCATTTACATATACGGCTCCTCCTACACCTCTTCGGGATTTACTTCCATCCGTGAATATTTGTATATACCCGTCATTTTCACTATAATTATTTTCAATTTTACTGTACTTGATTCCTAATCTTTTTTCAGGATCAGGAAGATTTATGAAAGCAATCCTGCTTTGAGTTACTTTTTCCTCTCCATTTACTATAAATTTTTGAGTTCGCTTCGCTTTCTCTATTTCATTGATCTCTTCCAGTTTCAAATCAATAGGTTCGAAGTTCGCCAGCGCTAAGGCCGAAGTGAGTGAAACTGTTCGAAAACATTTTGCTGCTTTCAATGCAAAAGCTCTTTGGAAACGTAGTAGTTTTTTCCTAATATATTTATAGTTTAACGCTGATTCCCATACGATACTCCCGTAGCAAATTATTGGTTCAATTGCTCTTTTATAGATTATTTCCACAATTTCCGATGATAATCCCCACGTGGGTCGGGCCGCTCTACTCAACATTCTGTATATTTTCATTGCTCTCTCAGTGATGTACATTACGTGTTTAGTGAATCTTAGCATCTTATCGATTATAATACCTAA